TGTGTATGTGGGGGGTCTATACGAATGCGCTTGCTCCAGCTGGTGGTACAATATTCGGAGGCGGTATCGCCTCTCTGATCCTCTAGTTTGAAAATGGTATCAGTAACAAATGGCTGACAGTTTATCCACAGTTACTTATTTTGTGTGATATTTCTCAAGTTAGAAGGCATGCAATAGTGAAATTTGGTGCTAAATTTATTTATATATGTTTGTACCTTTTCTGCCCAGTGTTAGGTATAGATAGCAAGTTGTAGTAATTTACAAAGCACCATGCTGCAAAGTAGAGTAAAGTTGTATCTCTATCTGCTCGTCATTCATTTTCATATCACACCCATTGTGTACATGCACATATGTAAACAAGAGCACACTCACACACAAACTTGCATACATGTTGTGCATGCACCATACACATTTCTGTATGAAACCACAAAGGTTGTTAGTCACTATGACCTTATCTTATTTATACAAAATATCCTATATAAGCTGTCCAAATATTATTCTCTATTATGCAAGTTCTGTGTCACATTCAAGTGTTGTTAACAATGCTTTTCTAGTGTTTAAAAAGAATTAACCTGTAGATTGGCATGGTTTAGATCTATGATATTTATTGTTGAAACATACCCCATGCCTCAGATTTACATTTGTCCAGATGGTCAGGATATTTCCACTGTATGGTGTGTGTATATGTGTGTCTATTTACTATAAATAGCATAAAGGATGCCTGCAAAGATAACTCATGATGAGATATATGCAAAAATCTGTTTAGCAACTATATGCACATTTTAACATCCATTTATGAGACTTATTGGTAAATAAAGTTGTCTAAATGGTTTGGTTTCACGTCTAGACAACAATATCACTTGTTTTCATTAGTAGGCATTGTTTCCAATTTCACTTTATTTGGAGCCCAATTTATGTCAAGGGTTATTATTATACAAGTATTCAATATATTTAAATCTATTTGCTGTAAATGGATTGATCTGTGAGTTCAGAAATGATAAATGTTCTGACAGTATCTTTATTTTTTTTTTAATAAATAGACAGACGAAGCCTTAACAGCCATAGACCTTGGTGCCTTTGCAGACAATCTTACAGCACTGGCAAAAATTCTTACACGGCAGAATCCGGTAATCTTGTTTATCTTGTTTCACTGCAGTGTTCATTGTTTGATGTACATATATCTCCTTTATTAGCACTTTGATAGATTTATTATAACAAGTAAACAATTTGCATTTCAAATCCATTGATCATTGGTGGTAGTTTTTAACTAATGCAGAATATGCTTGACTATTTACAGCCATATTTGAATCAGACTGCAGAGGAACTGAGAGGCCATGCTGCTACACTATGGCGAATATCGAATAATACTGTTAAAAATATGAGTTCCACAGTGGTGGGTAAAATTTATTTAGAATGATACCATGCATAAACTGATATTTATACTTATTATAAATCTTACAAGTTGCTGACATGTAACATGTGGATTTGTAACTTTATGGTAAATGAAAGAATGTATTTGTACTCCAGTGTAAGTGCTATTAACTCACAATTCAACATCAGTCTTTAAGGCATGGCAGAAGTTTATTGAGTAGTTTTACTGTTATTTTAATCTTTTTCTTAATGCATATCTGAATACACGAAAACAGTGTGTGTGTGTGTGTGTGTGTGTTTGTGTGTGTGTGTGTGATAAGTATGTTTAAACATACCTAAAAAGATTAAGATTATGACAACATTAAATTAAATTTTTTTTCACAGAGAAGCTTGAAACGTTCATTGAATGTACTAAATGACAGTACCAACCTACAGGTAGGTTTGAATAGCATTTCTTTCTTTTTATTATTTTAGGTTTTGAACTTTTGTGAGATAATTGTGTGTATACAACAAACAAGATTTAAGTGAACTTCTTCCTTGGTGTTGGAATGGCATTATAATAAGATACCTTATCACTTATGTATGTTTAAATGTTTGAATAAGATAATTTGTAGGGAAAAATCTTTTTATGTCAAATAGTGAAAGTGATGCCAAACAAAAATTACATACACAAATCTAGAAATTGCATTAGTGTACATGGTTTTGAATGGATGCAAGTTGATCCTTTGATATTCTTAAATAGAATATTTTATGTCAAGTACATATTCAAAATACACTTTAATGGAGTGTTCCTCATCAGTGATGTCTTTTATTACTTTTAACTAAGTCTAACAAGGAGTTTGTGTTGATAATTCAAAGTTTGCAGTCATTTTGATTTCAACATATTCAATTTCTAGGATCAAGTGAATGGCCTATTAAACCTTTCACATAAAGCAGAAAGAGCAATACAGACTAAAGGAAAAGAAATCATCAAGAAGGTATATTGCTTTAAATATACTGGTGATTTTTTAATCAATTGATCATTATCTGTTCTTTTTTATGCATTTGATATACATTAGAATTTTACCTATTTAAAGGCTAAATGGCAAATTTCCATGAGAATTTCTGCAGTTTTCCTTCAAATGTTTTCTCCAAACTGAGAAAATTATGATTTATAAACCACTTTTTGAGCTCTTAATTCATATTTTTTTTACATAAAGGTGACCTTTGAGTCCCCATCTCCAAAATGAAAGTAGCTCAAAAATAAGTAACTTAACACAAAACCAGTTTATAGATCTATTTTTTTTCAATTTTTGACAGTGGTTAATTTCATTAATAAAGGTCACTCATTTGATGACTTAAAAGAAAATATCTGTTAACAGCCTCTGAGAATGCATAAGTTAATGTCAAGCAGTTGAAAAAGGTATTGTTCTTTACATGTCAATTTCTATAGTATTCACTTAAATAAAGCCAATGCAGGTTAATAAAACATCCTGTTTCCTTTTTATATGTAGACTATAAATGAAACTGCAGATAAAGTCAAAGAAGTGTTGAATGAAGCCATCAATTCTGCAGTTAAGGGAGTAAGTATCTCTCCAGCCTTCCATCCGTCCATTCATCCATCCAATCATTTACGACTTTAAACATGTATAATTTGTATATCTAATTATTGTTTTTTTTTGTTGCTTACATGTTTTGGATATTGTGTGTCACACATTTCGACTCCATGTATCTTGTGTTGATGATGTTTCGTTTCTAATTCTCTGTTTTGACTGAGAAGACTTAATGATGCAATTTTTAAACAGAATGAATACATTTGATATTATTTTTGTAATATAATGTTTAACAGCTTTGAAAAATAACTTTTCAATTTTAACAAGAATAATTAAATTGAAATTTTACACATTCAATTTAACCTTTTTTCAGTTGAAAGAAGATGTAGGGAAATGTAGAGTACTGTACAGTTCTTTAGAAACACTGCATGGAACTGTTTGCAAGACTGTGCTTTATCCCTTTGTAAGTACAAAGGAAGTTGACTCAATTATTTATTCTTTCCAATGATTTACTTCTGTCAGGTCTGTAGTTACTGGTCATTGGTAGTAACTAGTTAATTAAGAGTTAAACAGTGGTACATAATGAAGCTGAAAATGTATTTCTAGACTAGAAAAAGTGAATTATCAGTTATGCTTCAAAACACTTTTTCATCAGTTATTATGTTTTTTTAATGCATGTGTTGTAATCATTTAAATCAATATAAACCATGCATTAACTGAAGTTTTATTATTATTTCCCTTCAGAATGGCTTTTGGTACAGCATAGGCTGGTGCCTGTTCTTTTTCATTCCAAGCATCATCTTTGCAATGCTACTTGCTGGTCAGTATCGCAAGACAGAGGAATATGACCCAAAGCGCGATGATTTTGATCAAAGGTAAATCTTAGATTGATAGAAATAATGTTTGTGAAAACAAGTAGAAGATCACTTTGAATTAACTGTTAGGTCTTTGTGGTTTTGTTTTGTTTACTGTTGATTAATGGGTTTTAGAAGTGCAGTTCACTAATAAGGTTGATGAAATTGAGTCGAGGTAATCAATACTTTTGAAAATCAGACAATAAGAATCAGACACATGTAGTACTTGGAAAAATATAATAAAATTTGTTCAGATTTTTATGAAATCCACTTTTTTTGCACATCTATGCATAAAGTTATGGCGCATGCACAAAACAGTTGCTTAAAAGGCACTGACAGATCCATTTGACAATACTTACACGATAACAGTGAGATGTGCAGCAAGGCTTTTTTTGTACATGACGTTTGATTTAAGGCTACTGTCAGCATTTGCCAAAAACTCCTTATTTACTGCCTTACATTCATTCTTTTGAATAACAGATAAATCTTCAGTGTTCATTGACTAAATTAAAATTTACACACATGTCACATGGGTCACATCATAATTGTAATTTGGGGATAAAACGGTATCTCATATTCCTCCTTTACCTGAGCACCCATGAACACTGTTATGCCCATACCAACTGCTTTCTCACCTCAAAATAGAAAGGTCTTAAATTAATGATAAACACTTTGAGGCGCCTATGCTTATTTATACATTGCAATGAGAAATATAAACACTAATTTATTTCTTATGTTTTGGAGGGGATTTTTATTGTTTTCAATAAGCAAAAGATGCGAATGTTTTATTGAATTATAAGATGCAGGAAAAACCTCATTTTTGGTATCTGGATGATTATAAACCCTTACAGTACCCTTAGTACCCGAAAATAGCTAGCATTGGATCAATTTAATCAAAAGTTTGATTGCCTCGGCTTATGTGCACGTATGCACTTGGGTTTGTGCTCTTCTTGTCACCTGACTGCATGGACTTCCTTGCCATTCCAGTAACTATGAGGAAGACTATCAAGGGGCTTTTCCTGGGGACCATATAGCATTAGATGAGTAAGTCTGAAAAAACACTCAATGTGACTGACTTGACTCAGTTATCAGAGATTTTCGATAGGTGCCATCTTCAAATTTTGAGTGGAAGGCCATTACTTTTTCTTCTTATCATTTTCACACCTACTGGTAACGGTTTTCAGAAATACTAAACATGGTTTGGAGTGTTGTGTTATACATTTAAGTTAACTTGGTAACATTTGAACACATATACGTTAATAACTACTGGGATGGTGAAATTATAATAACAACATTTATGAGTTCTTACACTATTTTAAATTTCAGTATTCCATGCTTGAAATTTTTGCAGTTTATTTTATTGCAATTTATAAATATATGTATATACTCAATGCTTCACTACAAAAGGAGCTCCTGGAAACCCCGTGTTAATCCTGCCCTGAAGGTTTTGTTCACTACCACTATTTTGTATTTTTGATTTGCATGACAACAGCATGAGCAGGAGACGGGGAAAACAAGAGCGCAATGGCGTAAGCAATGCAGGATATGATGACAGGAGAGGAGGAGGAGGGGGATATCCCTATAACAGTGGTGGTGGTGGTGGCGACCGCTATGATGATAATCGATACAAGGGGACTCCATCAGGAGGGTATGGCCGGGGTTATGATGGCTATCATGATAATCGTAGTTATGGCGGGGGGTATGGTGGTAGGGGATCTTATGATCGAAGTGATTCATACGTTGAACCTGTAGCCCCACCCAGTTACCACGCTGCCGCTTATGGAAACCACTGGCAGAAGTAAGTAAAGGTGACCCAATTAAAGCTTCCCGGAAACTGTGACATTATGGCAATACCCCTGAGGATTTTACCTGTAACGAAATGGGGTTTGCATGCAGTTTGATGGACTTATATTTATACAGTGTAAGATTCTCAGGGAGTTTGCAGACACTTTCTTTAATTTCCTTCTATCAGTGTCATCCTTTGTACTTTCTATCTTATGATTTTATTCTTACCTAAATGGAAATCTTTGAGGAAAGGAAATTTGATGTTGATTGTGCTTCTTTATTTAATTCTCTATTTCTTTGGCTGATATTTGCCATAATCCAGTGTTTTCTCAAACTGTAACATTTAATTTGTTTTGATTTTCTCTTTTAGTTTCTTTATTTACTTACTTTATAGTCTCTGTGCACAAATGCCATAATGTCACTGTTACAGCTTGCATGTGGAAGTTAGTCAGGATTGCTTTTCAGAAGTTAAGTTTAAGGATACTGTAAGCGTTTGTTATCTACTGCTTTACATACATTCTTTTGGACAACAGATAAATTCTCAGTGTTCAGTGACTAAATTAATTACCATTTACACATGTCATTTTACAGGTGATGTCAATTTTGGGGTAAAGACCAATGAATTTAATTTTTGTGATAAAATTTTGTTCAGGGATGAAGTTATGCCCCAAACCTATTTTGATACCTCAAAATAGAAAGGTTTCAAATTTATGGTAAAAGGTTTGAGTTGCCTATGCTTATACATAGCAACAAGAAATATAAACAGTGATGGTTCCGAGGGTTTTTTTTATTGTTTGAAATCAGCACAAAAGTAGATGCATTATTGAGTAATAAGATGCAGGTAAAAACTCATTTTAGGTATCTGGATGATAAGAAACCCTTACAGTATCCTATTAAACTTTTAGCATGCTTTATTCTCCATAATAAAATGCACTTTTCCCTTGAACTAAACACTAACCTAACCTGATCTAATCTGATGTCTCACTTTTTTACAGAGTTTTATTTATTGCAGTCATTTTTTATAAGTATGATGTGTCTGCTTTTAAGGGAAAAATATATCATGTTATATAGTATTAATATCAAGAATTGTTATTGAATTCAGAAATGAAAGGTTGAATAAATGATTTTTTAAAGGCAATATACAATAACACAATACATTTTCAGATGAATATAATGCCACATTCTTCATCTTGTGACCAATATTTTTTCCTCTCCTTTGACTCCATTTTGATTGCTGTTTCCTGTAGGAGGCTGTGCTAAAGACACACTAATCAGCATGCAAATAGATTATGAATCATTAATGAGAAGATGTGCATATATTGAAAATTATAATTGATTGAAAACTTTAATCTGCATAGACAGTATACACCACCTTGTTTCAAGCCTAGTGGAATAAGCTTGTAGCCATAATAGCACAATTTGCCCTTGGTTTAGAGGACACCCAACAGAAATGGGGGAGGGGGGGGGGAGGAAATGAAATTGTATACTTAACTTTTATTAAAATGTTTGTGATTTATATGATTTTGACATCTGGATAAATGCATTATTGTTTGGAAAGAAAGGTACATTGATGATATTTTACCTTTGCAAATTGCAATGTCTTTACGAGGGTAGACACTTGCATATAATATTTATTTTTTTATAAACTCCTGGAGTTTAGTCTGTTTTCAATTAACAATTATTTCAAGAAAAAAGGTCATTTTTAATCTTCAAATTTTTATTGATTATGACAGTTTATCACACTGGACAAAGTATTTTGTAGATATTTTCCCCCTAACTTTTAAAATGGTGAAATAGGTAATGAGTTGATATAATAATGTGAATGAAAACTTCTTAATTCAAAGATGAATAAGTAACTCTTGGAAATTCGTTAGAGTGCTTTTTGTTGCATAACCTTCCATGTTTGACCAAAGATTCAATAAATCAAGTCATCTAATTAGTTAGATTACCAGCAAAATGCTTATACCAATTCTAAATGAATGGTTAATTTTTTCAATAGAAAGATTGGAAAATATGGGAGCATTCAGATAGACACACTGTACTAGTTGTGTCAGTTCTGCATTGCAGGGGTTTTTCGCTAAATGCAGTTGGCGTAAGTGAATGACTGTTTGATATATCTGGGTTATTTACCCCCTAGCTGCTCGAAGAGGCATATGGCGCAATTAAGCCGATTCCACTGATTGCAATAAGCAGGATTGGACTGACCAAACTAATACATGTCTCTAAAGGGGGACTATATTGTAATTATGAACAAATTCAATTTATACGATTGTTTTGGTTAATTTTATTCTATTGTAGGTTGTATTTTTCTTTTTATTGGAAGTGAAATGTTTTTCTTTCAAAATTTGCTCATTATGATCTCCGGCTTTTCAGCAACAGACACTACTAGAACTTGAGTGAGGTATCACCAATTCACCCTTACCACCAGACCAGATAAAAGTATCTGCAGAAGATCTCCTGAGGGCCATCAAATTGGTGCTTTAAGAAACATCGTTATTTCCATCTTATTCCTTTATACAGCGAGCTGATATTTAGATTCATGACTTTATTATAATCAAGAGTTTCTGGAGTGGAGTTCTTTGATACTTACAAGCCTACATATCAACTAAGGAGTTTTGATTTTTTAAACCTATAGCAATACTTAGATTAACAAAAACTGTATACACCTTCAAGTGAAAGGGAAAAAAAGAGTACAAGAAAAATACAGATTGTGGCAATGACAAGGGTCATTTGATGGATGTACAGAGCATAGAGTGAAGGTGCAAGTAACAGTGGTAGTCACTGATTGCCTTAAAAAACATAGGAGCAACTAGAGTGTGAGTTTGTCAAAGTACACTGCATGTAAATAGTACATTTGTAAAAAGAGGTAATTGTGATGAAAATTGAAAGCTAATTTTTTTCCAATCAGAGGATATTATTTTTAACAGCGGTTTGGTAGATTTGAAGCCGAAATTTAAATGGGTGCTCTCCCATATGAGTTGGAGTATCTCTGTATCAACCTAGAAAGGAACTTACACTGTCGTGGTTATTAATGTATCGGAGCTAGGTAAAAGTTAAATATTGGCTTACAGTAATTTGAAATCAAGCTATAATTCCATCGAAGAGCAAATGAATTATCTTGGCTCTTTTATCTTTTGTATGTCATTAATTTATACTTGATGGTTGTGAAATTTATTTTAACATATTCGTATATGTTAATTCAAGAGTTAAATTTTAGGGTAAAAGTTGTGAGTCATCTAAGGACTGTATTTTACATGAATGAGTGAGTAATTGTTAAAATTGAATGACTTTGGGTAAAAGATATTGCTACTAGATGTTGAATCAGTTTGTCTCCAGGAAGCTTTAAACCGTGTGCTGGTCACATGATTAAATAATCTGATTGTTTAACAAAAATTGTTAAGTATATATTATATAACATGTTTATTGTTGCATTTAAATCAGTGAAAATCTAAGGTGGAATACATTTGTTGATTAACTGGGAGCTTATTAAGTCATTTAAGCAGTATTTTGAAGGCAAACTTTGAAAATAATTCGAAGTTATTGCTGCATTTAAGACATTTTGTTTGTCAATGTTTCCAGAAAGTGATTGTCTTCACCTTTGATTGTAAATAACTTACTTGTTGAGAGAACTGTCTGCACTAACAAATTTTAGTACGAAAATTATTTTAATTAGAAAGTAATGGTTGTGCACTCAATGTTGTACACAAAAGCTTTGTGCAAAGCTTATCATCAATTATAGTTTCTTAGTCCCAGGTATAGGACAGATAGTATTGCCTTTGCTATTTCCCCAATATTGCATTAAAATATTAGGTTTTTGCTTGGCATGGACATATAAAGTTATGTACCAGTATGTTAAAATGGTTAATTCAGAAATTAAATCAAAATCAATATTTTTATAAAAGACAGTTCTTTTTTATGCATTTATAAAATTTATTGGGGAGGGAAATGTACCAATTTATGATAATTTGTACTTCTTTGGATTATTGCATTAATGAAATGGGAAATGCTGTAGAGTAATTTGATTTAAAATTTTAATTCTTGTATTATATTTCCTCTTTATGTTTTTTAAAATTAAATCTCGATTCTTCATAGACAGTTGCCCTTTAGATATTTGCCTTGCCTGTTTTGGCAAGGATAGATTGATTGCTAGCCATATTATATATTAAAAGCATAATACATGTATTACCCAAGACAAACCAAGTTTGACAATTACTTGAGCGCAATATAACCCAAAATAGCAATACAAACAATTTGGTCACGTGTACATACAGCACTCGTGGAAGCACTACTGACTTGAAGTTAATTTAGATCTTGTTTTAGTATTAAAGAATTAATTTTTATTAATTTCCAAGATGCCTAACTATTTATTTGGCCAAAATAGAATACTGGAATAACATACATACTTATTGACTTGCACCATGTCATCGTTGTACTTAGGTTATGTTTGTATCTAAGTGTATTTCAATTTGTATCCATTTTGGTGTTATTTACTAGTTTGAAATATCCCAGTGACTTTGTCTGTTGTTATCACCACCATTTTGTAAGAGTATTAATATTGTCGCACTATGCAATTGACATGTGTACATTTCAATCAAGTTGTGAAGTCAGGGAAGAAAGGTGCCTTTGTTATTGAATACAAACTTGAGTTTTGTTGGAACTTTAAACACATATAATGATTTCCTATTGCTTTAAATCTTTGCTTATTTCCAAATCAGCATTCCAATTTAAAATCAAAAGCATTTTGTCATGAAGTGCTATGCAGCTCTTATTATTTTAATAAAAAAAAACTAGTATTAGTTGTTGATCCAAATAGTTATTTGACTGATATAGCATAGAGAAGATTTATTCAAGAGTTTGTTAGGTTCCAGATGCCACTAATTCTTATGCCTGAAATATTTATCTGCCAATCCAAAGAGGTTTTATCCCAAGGAAATACTTGTATGTTGAAATTTGTTTTACTTTTTGTGCACTCTGGTATAGTAGAATGTTGTAGGTATACACTGAATGATTGCAAAATAAATGAAATGTTGCATATTTTAATGTTATTGTTTTTAGTCTTCATCTCTCAACATCTCCTTCACACAGATGTGTAAAATTTTCAGTAAGCTCTTAGCATACATCTTTATTTTCAGGTTCAATCAATAATGTTTGAACATTTTCATTTAAATGTGTGGAGTAATCTTGTAGTCATATTCAGTCACATTATACAAAAATGGAATTCTTCAAAGTCTAAACAGCAGAAAACTGAAATGTGTGATAGTTTTCTGTTTTTGAATATGAAATGTGACATGAATATGCAAATCCACTTCACATGCAAAATAATGTGTACATTTGTGTACCTTCCCAATTGGCAATGTCCTGACATTTAAAGGTAATAAATGTTTTCAATTACCAAACTGGGGTTTCAATCATTGTAATTTGTAAACCATTTCTTCCTTTGTTATAAGATGTGTTGCTTTATTAACCAGCTGCATTAGAGAGTTTATATTCATGGCCCAGTCATTTAGAATGTCATTAGGATCCTTGGCAGAGACGAAGTGGACTATACCAGCAAGGCGGTCTATTTTGGCTTGAACAGTTTTGTTCACCACTAAATTGGACAAAAACTCTTCAGTTTCCTAAAAAGTAAAAAATTTGAAGTAATGTTAATGTTTGTAAAAAAAAAAAGTTTCATTCATAAGATGGTTTACAGTTCTGTTTACCAACAGTGATCTGAAATAACCTTGAAGTCGTATGAATAATATATTTCATGGATCCAGTGATGTTTAAATCAAGAAAAACATGAAAACTATAAAAAAACTAATGCACAAATTTAGTAATTCACATGGAAATGCCATCTTTGCACTTACAAAAAATCCATGAAATCTTAATTAAATATGACGAGTAAAAAAAGTAAAGCCTAGATTTAATCCAAAACTTACTGCTTCAGTAAGATCCAATAACTCTGCCATTCGCTTCATATTTATTCTCGTGTAATACTTTGCCATCACACGAATGTTCTGAAACAAACAAAATTCTGAAATTAAACAATTTCTATAGGGTATGTTCATCTACTTACTGACAAATATTATTTCATCTCTAATGTAATCTTCATGAAGTACTATGACAGAAAATAGTGAATATCAATTTTTAAAGGACCTCAAAAGTTCATTGAACACAAAAATGTATCATACAAAATATATAGTAAGAATATCAGAAACTTAATGGTAGACAAATACAGCATTGAGGTAGTAATAAAGAACATTTAACTGCTTTCCACACTATATGCCATATACTATTTACAGACACTCGTAATGCAGTCTGGGCTTCATTTTTAAGAAAATAAAATATATCAGAGAAAAATAAATTTTCATAAAAAAAAAATATCAAAAAGTCTTTATCAAGGTTTAATACAATGACCATGATATCACAAATACTCACATGCTCTACCACTCGTTTCTTGAGATCATCCCATCTTTTTACACCAGCTTCTGTGTTGGTATTGAAGACATCTGTAGCTGTGCTCCCTGGGGATCCAAACTTCAGTTCACCCTCAAATGCTGCACAAAGCTGTCTCCAGTTCATTATCTCAGGAGTAGTGAAATTCTTCAACAGTTCCCTGCACAAAGATTTGATGAAAACATCAAGCCAAATACTTCATACTATAAAACAATCATGTTACTCACTACACATAAGACCAAAAATATGACAGCAACATGTCTTGGGTATATATATTTGGGTATATATGTTACTAATAGTATCCATAATCAACAATCTGACTTAGTATACAATTTATTTATGATCAACCTTGATTAAGTACCAATTCAAAACCATCTTGCTTTTACCAGTTGAGCATCTTACCTATATTTTGGAATCTCTTCCAGATTTTTATCCTCATAAACTCTGAAGGTGTAGTCAGATTGTTCATTATCATATGGAGCTAGTACAAGGTACAGGACCACACATTTCAGGGCCTGGGGATAACAAAAGAGCAAACTTATGATTATCAACTCATTAGGTGTTGGAGATATAAAAAATATCCCTTCTGTTTCAGAATCATAAATGGGAGATATTAAGCGGTAAAAAAAGCAAAATATTCCCTCATAAAAATGTGTATCTCTTTAGATAGTATTAGAGTATCAATTTAAAATATAATGATTAGTGACTGATTTTGTAACCCTTCTTAGAAATCTATGTCTTTTAATACTATATTTACCTGGATGGGCAAACCAGGAATAGTTATCTTTTTCCCTTTTAACAAGTCAAACAAGAAATGGTTCTAATAAATAATCATACGGATATGTCAAGTTTCAAAACATTTTTCATTGATACACTTACCTCTTTCATCTTTTCTTTATCTTCTTTAATGCTTGGGGTATCATAAATAGCTCTGAAATGTTTGCATGTAGCAAGATAGGATCCCTCGTGCTGATCTACAGCTATCATAAGTTGGTAGTACTTCAACTTCAGTTCCTACAATGGATACAGCAGAGTATTTAACTTGATTTTGCTACTCTCATAACTATAAACACATTCACTTGAGAAATTTGCAGATGAACATCTATCATCACTTGAGAAATTTGCAGATGAACATCTATCAATGCTGATGAGTTATAACTTCTTTATTTCTCATTACAAACGAAAGCAAAAGTGATGGAATAAACAACAGAAATAAAACCTAGATATCAGTATAACTTGTCTATGTTTTATAAAAATAATGATATCACAATACTGACAGATTTAAACAATATTACCAACCTAAAAAAGTACATACCTCCATTCCTTCTTCATCAAAGATCTTTGTGGCAATCTTTTTGCTGATAATCTGTGTTCTAATATAGTCCTTTTTAGCCAAACATAACCTCATCTGTTCAAGGATAAACTCCACTTTCTCTTTCTTCTCCATGGAACCAAATGTTTCCACCTATAATAAGAAAAATAAGCTTGTATTACTGATGTTAATTCAGCCAGTATGTATAAGATTAAAAAGTAAGGTCAGTCTGCTTCCCATAGTGGTGAAACCTGCAAGAGAGGTGCTTATCCCTGGTTTCTGGAGTATTAAGATATTTCTGTTTCACAAATTACTTCCCAACAAACTGTGTTGGTGCAAATATTCAGAAAAAAATGAAACATCATATTTCATAATCTGTAGTTTATATTTAAACAAATGGTTGTTATACTAAGCTTTTAGAAGTTTGTTTACATCTATATTTCTGTTGACAAGCTTACCTGCAATTCCTGGAGAATACTTGCAGCTTCTGTAATGTTTCCTTCATCTTCTTTTATCTTGGCAAGTGTTCTTGTTAGTCTGGCTCTTTCAATTTCTACATATATCTACACAAATAAATCAACAAATCATTAAAACAAAATCTCATGAAATAAAATGAAAAAAATGACATAAAAAGAAATCATTTTATGGCATTCTTGTGAAGTCACAATGAAGTCGGACATTTATTGAAAGACAGAGGTAGGTTTTATTAGCCAGATATAGCAAAAGATGTTTCAGATTATATTAATGATTGGCTGAGTTGTTGAGCTCAAAACACAAACTTCAGATTGTGGAGAGCTTTGCTCTGTTTCTTCTTCTTTTTAACAAGAACTTGTCTGCATGGACTATCTAACAACACAAGATACAAAAGTAGGGATATTAATATATTTGCAATTACAAACCATTTCACGAGATATGCCTAAGCATACCCTACTCCCAGTCAGTCAGCAAGAACTACTGGGAAAACTACTATGCGCTTTTCAATAATTCCAATCTTACTTTGCCAGCTGTAACAGTCCTTAGTGTATCAATAAGTTTAAGTTTGGTCTCCATATCAGGGGTCTGTTCAACATAACTGCAGGACTCTTGAACCATCTTAGTCACAGCCTGAAATATAAAACCCAACATTTTCTTAATAGTCATGAATATAAACACTACCAATGTTGTAAAATGTGATTATTTACAATGAGCCATGTTACATAATTCTTGGCACCATCCTTAATTACATCAAGGCAATTACTACAATCTTTTACAGGCAATCAAGCATAAATCAAACCAAAGGTTTTATTAAGAGCAATAACAGTATTACTAGTAACTGCATCTCTTTGTGCAGTATATTTCATGTATGTTTTTTTTTCTTTATAATGTTAATCTTTTACTTACCTGTTTCATTTGTCCCCGCTTTTTTGTTAACAACACAATATTTTCATTTAGGGCACTCCAGTCTTTCTGATCAAAACACATCTTTACAATGCCAACCAAAATCTTGGCAGTTGAATGATAATCAGCAGCCTAAAATAGTTTCAAAATAAAATGAGCACACAGAAAAAAAAATTGGAGAGAAGCCACTATTTCATTCATAGTTCTTTACAGAAATAACGATCTGTACTCTAAAAAATATGATGTTTATTATATTAAAACAATTATCACCATAATTATTATTATCATTATTACTAAATGAGTGCAACTGACAAATAACACTCACTGTCCTTGTCATTTTCTCTAGTCCAAGAAGTATATCTATGGCTTCAGTTAACTTCCCTGCCTGAAATATATAATGCAATTATGGATTTATTGGCATTGTACTAATTTCACAAAATGACTGAAAAACAATATTTAGTTGCATTCCAAAAGCACAGGAAACATATAATTACTTCTAACAGACCTGACAACCAATAAAATAACACACACAAACACACACACACACATATATATTATGCCAAAAGAGGTACATCTGTTTACAAATAATTAAAATCAGCAAATTTGTAAGTTTTTTTTCTACACATATTTAAATAATATTAATAAAAGAATTTAGAAACAACTATAACTATTAATACTATATAATATATTTATATATTTTATATAATAGGGTAGTAAAAACAAGAGGTTGACATTGGGAATGCTTTTGATCTTGCTCTCCAAATGCACAGTTGTGCAAATAGCCAGTTTCCACACTGAAAAAGTTCCATCAAGATTTTACCATCATTTCTCCGAAATATGCATATTTCAAAAATTCAAATGATTATTTTAGTATCTCTGTTGGAACAAAGTTTTAATTAAAATTTCATTATGATTTGACAGTTATCAGTAGAATACACACTTCTGAGGCATTCCTATTTGGCACTTTACATATTTTGGTAAAAATACAGATAATCTAACTTTGAACAGTAGCCATCATCACAGTTCACTAAAATTCCAATTCAATGAGTGATGCCATGATGAGTGACTTGCTTTTTTGGAAGCCTTAACAAAGAGGTAACAACCAACCGTAAAATGACAAATTTCATAAAAACGTGAAAGCTGAAATTGTGTCATTGACCATAAGTTCCTAACCTTTGCGAGTTTTTCACACTCGGGAAGTTTTTGCTCCACAGTGGAGCTGTAATCAACTTCCATCTTCTGGATACGTCCATCGCCGGTGTCCGCCATGTTGTCTGTGTTAGAAACGATCTCCAAAGTAAAGTCTCATTCTCAGTACCTTTGATCCTGGTACGTTTTACTAAGAACGAGGTTATAAACATCATTTAATTTATATTTTAACTACTCTTTTGATTACATCAACAGAGATGATATTAAAACCATAAGATATATTTTATCAACTTGAAAAATTACATACTTATTTGAGTACATTGTAAAACTCATGCTCGCGAGAAATTTTTGACCTTTACCTTTGACCTTGACCTCTGGTATTGATATCCTGAACACATGCCACACGCGAGTGTGGTTGTAGATAGAAGTTTGCTTTCAGAGAGACTAAACAGTGAGAGATGTTACTGAAAGAGTACCGAGTATGTATGCCACTCACTGTGGAAGAGGTATGTCTTTACAAATGGTCAAAAATGCATTGTAAATGCCGTTGTTATGTTGCAAATCGGTACACTCAAAGCACAGGACATCAAGTTGTACCGTAATTTGTGCTGGACATTGCATGATGTCCATTGGCATTGTCATCATAATAACTTTCATCAAGTCACAATTACACTGCTACGTTAATGATCAGATAATAGAGCAATCATTTTACCCAAAATTATAAATTACTCAAACTTTTATATTAAAAAAATTGGATATCACAAAAATCTCTGAGCGCTGATAGTACTGCAGATATCTTGTTCAAAAATATGTAGATTTTTAGTTTCCGTCTTGATTAATTAGGGGGTGGGGCAATTAGAAATATTCCGTCTCTTATCAAAAGGAAGGCGCAGGGTAGGTATGAGAAGGGATCTTTCAGTTCTATCAAATTCCATTAAATACTTATATTGATTTTTCAGTATCGTATTGGGCAGCTATATATGATAACTAAGCACAGTCATGAACAAAGTGAGAAAGGTGAAGGTGTAGAAGTGGTCAGAAATGAACCTTGTGAAGATACCAATTATGGAACTGGACAGTATACAGAGAAAAGAGTCTATCTGAACAGGTAAGTAAATAGCCAGTTGCTCTGTTGCTTAGATGAAATACAGTTTAATAAAGACATCAAACAATGGGCATTATAGACCTTTATTTATATAGTTAATCTTTTATTATTATTATTTTTTTTTGGATATTTTAACACTTCATATAATCACCAATGCACAGCATATCCAAAACAGTTGAAAAAACTACAAGATAGAAACCTGTGTGTAATTGTTAGTTTCTTAAGGTGTTGGAGACTTATGGATTTCCCTTAAAATATGGTGAAAATTAGTAAAAAAAAAGTGTATGGATTGAAATTTATTCAAAGGTATTTGATATGGTATGCCTTGGTGATTAAGGAAATTTGGTCATATTTATTTAAAAATTCATTTTATGCTCTATAATGGTTGTAAAGTATGAATTTTTACACTGTATACTGATTATTATTGCACTTTGAATATTTCAAATAATGTGCCAATAGAAAAAATTATTTTTCTTTTTTCTTTTTTTGATAAATGAAAAGGGTAACGCATCAAACCACTGTGTTTGGTTTTTCATATAAGAATTAAAACATCATCTCTGTAGGTAAGCAGCCATGTCAGGTTTCAAATGGCATTTATAGCCTTTATTATTGACACCTTCATACATGGCTTATTAACTTCAAAATTCCAAAAGAGATATTTTGTAGATTACTAGTAAATACTTTCCTTGATAAATGCCATTTACAGAAATAAGAATCTGAAAACAGCTTTGCAGTTTTCTCTTTGCTTGTGCACTTAAAGTAATTGTTCTGCATCATGTATGAGTAGAAGGGAGTGCTAATATCTGCAGGTGATTTTTCTGCATTTCTGTAAATGTCACTTTAAATTTGTCCTTGCATTTATGTGTGTTATTGAATTAGAAAAAGGGATGGATTTCAAACCCAGATACAGAAAATACATCTTAATAAGTGCACTGTATAATTTCGCCTATGCGGTCATTTAGTAGTTATCAAGTGTGGTTCATCTTTTTTCCAAAAGCAAAAATAAATCATTTTTGAAAAAATAGTTTGTTTCCTATTTCATGATGTTTTAGAGTAAAATTAGACTATTCTATATTATATTATATTCTATATATTATACAGAATTAGATCTGAAACCCATCTGTTTTCAAATATTTTCCTAAATTCCTAGAGATGTTTATTACCAATGAAGCCCTCAAACTCTGGGTTTTCATGAGCAGACTCTAGGTCAGGCTAGTCATGAATAGAAGATACTTGCTTGACCTTTCTTCAGGTGAATTCCAAATGCACTTACATTGCTCAAAGGATAGTAAACATTGTTGATGATTATCTGCAAGCATTGAGAGTAAATGTGCAATTTTTCATCACCGATTTTCACATTAATGGAGCTTTAATGAATCGTCTGCCTGAGGGTGATTCCGTAGTAAAAGGACTGTATACATACAATTAAACTCAAAACCAGCCTCTTAAATGTTGAAACGTATTGATTTCTCTGGTAGGGATCTTAATAAGCTAAATCACAGATTAATCCTGTAAATGGAAATATTAGTGCTGGAAGTGTATTGTAATAATGTTCTTATATCTTTTTTGCTAAAAGCAGTCTAACAGGTACAAATTGATTGTGACGAAACTAGTTTTATAGATTTTTTTACATTTCCCAATAGTGGATTCATGTAAAAGTTTTATGTGATGGTTTAATTCTGGGATGACTGTCTTTATGAATAAATTTTCACCTGATTTATACTGTATTGTATATGAATAGGAATAGATAGAAAATGCATACCATCAGTAAAGACTGGCAAATATCTGTGATATTTTGGGTTGAAAGGTTATTTGATTTACCTATTTCAATTATTTGATAATTATGTCAATAAAATGCCACCTGTCAACAAATTTGACTCCCAGACATGTTTCATTGTCATTGAACTGAGAGCCTATGTATTGAATTGACATTTGTTTCATAATCATAAAAAAATGTATGTAGTGTATATTGAAAAATATTTTGAATGCATTATACCGTTGTATTTTATATTGCAACGTTGTTTCAGGAGGGCCTAGATGTAAATGTGAGAAAAGAGAAATATATCCGCAGGCAGCTTGTAAATTCAGGTTTCCTGGCAGCACACTTCTCATAGTTATCAAAGACAAGTGGAGTGTTCTAAACACCTGTGCTTATTAGAAGTACAAGGGCAGGTTTCCGCCTGCTGAATCTTGCTGTGATAATGTCTTATTGAACAGGATTTTTGGTCTCATACATGTGTAGTTAACAGATTTTATACCCTAGGTAATAGATATATTTGTGTTGTGTATTTTGAGATACCTGTGGGAGGCATTGCAGTGGTGGCAAAAATTTGATGCATATAGAGGTATTACATGTGGGCATTTAGGTTTTACTTGATCTTTATCAAATGTAATTTTTTATTCAGTAAGTGAAAACTTCTGAAAAGAATTTTTTTTGTTAAAAAGTATGATCAAGACCTAACAATTCATACCTTAATTGCAAGTTTTTTCTTTTAGAAAAAAAAAGAAAACGTTTGAATTCAAATAGCTTTACCAAGGAAAAAGCTCATCTTTCATTATATCTTGTATTTTTCCCTTTCAATTCCAGCCGCCTGCCAAGCTGGGTGCGGGCCCTCATTCCTAATATCTTTTATATCACTGAAAAAGCATGGAATTTCTACCCTTACACCAGGACAGGTAGGTAGTGGAAGCAGCAAAAATATTTTTGTTTCTTTTTAGTGAGGAGGACCCAATAAATTACAGCCTAACCTTTAGCTCTCAATTGCTTAGGGTACTTTACATTGCTTGTTATCTTTGTAGAGTGAATACTGTTGTGTTCTGCTTGATTTAACAAAAAATATGTAAGTTCTAACTCCCAGGAACAGAAATAGTGTTTGTGAACCTCTGCATTTTAACTTCTAAGTCATGCTTTTAAGCATTGGAATATTGATCCCTAACTCATCCCCTGACCACTTAATTTAGGCTTTACAGGAAGATTGCAGAGTGTTGCTTCCTGAGCCAAAAGAACTTAAAAATTGCTCATAATTTTTTCAGTGTTTTAAAAATGAGATATCTCTTTATACAACCACTGTATACTTATTATAAAAAAACACATAAAACTGAAATTGTTTTTATCATCTCTGGTTGAAGAAATAATTAGCATAAGGCATTAATATATGATTAGTGGGCAATGACATTTAGTTGGTAGTCTACTCAGACATAGGAAGAGACTCATCTGCTAGTTGCACAAACATATTTATTCTGGCATTGTGTTATAAAGAGCCCTGAAATAAGTATAAGAAACTGACTGCATCTCATTAGTTCATATGTTGTAAAAATAGTTTGTTTGTTTGTTTTTTTTTGTTTTGTTTTTTTGTTTTGCAAAGCTCATGCACAAGCATGTTGAAAGATTCAAAGTGTCTGAAAAAGTTTTCTAAATGGAAGAAAAAAAAATGTTGTTAAATCTTTTTATCGTTGATTTATCAATGTATGTATCATTTATTTGGAAGACTTACTGGATAGCATCACTTTGTGTACAGTATGCATGTGCTTTGAGTTGATAATTTCCTCATTTTTAAAATCATTTTAAATAAATGGCTCTGCTGCTTTTTATAAACTGCTTGGAAAGACAAGTAAAGTGTGTATCTGTTTGATTACATTGGAGACCAAAATAGCATCAAATCTGCAATATGTTATCTGTGGGAAACCCAAACGAATGGCAACATAGTCTGAACATTGTGTATTTAGGTGTCATAGCAAAGGTGAGCTTTATAAAGGTGCTTTTCCAAAACAAGCTTGTTCCACAAGTTCACATGAAGATACATGATCCCTTATAACTTGGAATTCCAAGAAATTTGATTCCGTGTTGAGTGCGAGAAGAATTTCCTGTTATCTGACAGTATTCAAAGATGGTTGTTTTGATAACAGTTTTGACCCTAGAAATTTCAGCTGAAGTATAAGCTTAGAATAAGAATTTATATTATAATAAAGTGGCATACTGAATGAAATGAAAGCAGCAAATTGAACTCACTTTCTGTCTGCTCTTTGCAATACATTCTAACCCATCTACTAGGTTTTTTTGTGTATGGCCTATCATCTTCACATGAGTGTAATCATTTTTTGGTATCCACATTCCACCACATATTGTAAAATTAATGCAACCCATGAGGCTTCATTAAACAAAGATAGCACAGTATGAACCAAGAGGCCTAAAATGAGGCTTCCTGCACTGCGTGAGATCATATGAGACTAGAAAATGTTAAAAAAATTTGTGAGTTTGGGCTAACCTTTAAGCCCTTTGGGGTGAAACTCTATGCATCTTACAAAGCATGCAAAAGTTACACGCAAAACATGCATGAGTATGTATAGTACTGTTGTGCAAATGATTGTAATTTCACAGAACTTTAGGGGACCAGTAAGTGAAAATATTTTCCTTATCAGCTTAAATACTGCAGAAACAAACATTGTCATGTTGAGATAAAGCTATTGCATCAGAAGTACAGAGAGGTGAATTTGTTAACTCAAGCTGATGGTATAACTGAGGCATTTTTTGGTGAAATCTGTATTATTGATTTCATATATAGAACAGCTGTAAACACTATTTAATGCCTGTTTAATCACAACAATAAGTACTACCAGGAAATTTCTTGTAAGGCTTAAATTTCTTCTGATCTTATCAGTCAAGTGTTAAAAATGCATTTGTTTATGGAACATAATAACTAGGGGCTCACATATCCTAAACAAAAAGTGTTAAAACCAAACACTGGTACCAGAGTCGCCCTAGTCATCTACCATGCCAATTTTATAATAACATCTTACACTGTTACTGAATAACATTGGGAAACTGATCACTTATCTTAAATCAATTTTGAAAGCAACAAAATTGATAATTAACAATTAACCACTCTTTGTGCAGATGCAAATATGATGGTAAATAAAGCAACAAAAAGGGAGGTTGTGCTCTTAAATCTTTTATCTTACTGCTTTGAAATTAAGATAAGAATTTCACATAAAAGAAACGAGGGGGGAGCTATTTTGAGAAATTAAGACCTATAAAATGTATCCAATTCACTAAGAAAAAACAACCAGAAAAATATACATGGATAAATCACACCGCACTTCTAAGTCTGCCATTATTTTTTACCCTTCTCTCCTCCAAATCCCATGAAATCTCACTTGAATATACATTAAACCACTACAATTATTTATTTATTTATTTATTTTCATTTGGTTTAGTATTAAAAGAGACCTACCTGGATGTTCTTTTACCTTTAACTGCACTTACAAATATTTTGGTTGACATTATTTATATTTGTGTAACCTTTGAGTTGGAAGTTCAAAAATCTATTGCCCTACCCAAGTCACTTGTCAGTTCACTCCTATGGAACTATAAGGAATGCACTTTTTATGTTGGCCATATTCCTACTAAATTATTATATATGATGATGTATAGGGTAGTATGATAGATACATGTCAAGCAATAATTAGCATTATAAAGTAGTTTATGGGTGGAATTGCATTTAAGTGTCTGCTTCCTGTAGTTATGCAACTTTTCCAAAAAAAAAAAATGATAATAATAATTATTATGAGAACTATAATTGTAAGTCATCACTCACTTATATAATCCAGTTTTAAAGAAGAGAATATTACAAAAGAAATTATATGTTATGGTAATGATTCGATCTTTTTAATGGGTAAAAATTATTTAACTTTCAGATACATAATTTTATAATCACAAAAATTGTATTTATTTATAGCATTTGTGGTGCTTTGACTGCATAGGTTGGAACTGTGCAGTAGCTAGCCTGCTTCTTAATTTTGTTGCTACCACTCAACAAGAATGTTCTAACTCTAAAAAATTATGACTTAAAAACAGGGTTTCTGTAAAATTCACAACTGTCCCCCATTGAAAAAATCAAGGAATTACCATTTTTCATACAACAGAACCTTTAGTACATATGGAGGCTGTGGCTTGTAGAAATTCTAAGGTTGTGGTTATGAAAGTTGGCATGAAAATACATATAGCCAGCTCTATTGAAACACATGCTCTGTAGATCTAACGATCTTGTTGATATGGATTGTTACCTTTGCAGACTTACAATAATCATGGTTTATTTACTGTGCCATACAGAAGGAAGAGTAAGTCAGGGTAATTGACAACTTTGTTTGTCAAATTCAAGCATATCATCAGTGCAATGGTGGTCATTTGGAACAAGTTCTGTAAAGAATGCACTCTTTGAGTAAGAGACATCAAATTTCAAAATCAATGTTTTTTTAAAATTATTATTATATCAGCTTCCAGGACATGTAATCTTGTCTTTGTTTCTTGTCTCAGTAATAGATCAGTAATATATGTATAGATATATATAATGGGTTCCATCTAATTTGAGACACCCTGTACTTGGTTATTGTAGCAAGGTGGCATATTATTTGATCAGTGTATTATTGGTATTGCTCTTTTTCCTGAATGTGAACATTTGTATATTGTTTCCTCTTTACCTACTCTGCATGCAAGTTACATCTGTTTTGTATCTGCAGTTTAATAGTGGCATTCATAAAAAGCATGACTTGTCATGAAATTTGAACATTAATTCAAGCACAGCATTGCGATTTTGCTTAATAATAGATAATGTGAACATGTAGTTTGCAGTAGTTTTCCAAAGTCAGACCAATTATACTGCAGCATGTAAAAAATATATATATTTAAAAATTTTTTTTTACAATAAATAATTGAACTGATTAACTCTGACTTGGAAAATGAAAACTACTTCATTTCCCTTTTATTGCTGATTTTTGAAAAAAGATTTTGAGTGCCTTTCTGAAAGAAAAGATATGCATGCCAATCCTCATTGTTGGGTATCCATGGTACCCAATTGAGGTTTTGTAATACTAGTGACATTTCTTTAAGGTTGCTGGGGAATTGTGGTCAGGAAGAAATCTCATAGGGATGTGATAATTAGAGATTTGGGTGATGCTTGAGACATTAGAGGGAAAAGCATCAAACTGATTATATTCTCTGCTGGCAGGGGAGGTTTCAAAGAATTGGACACATGTAAAGATTGATGACTTATTTAGTTATATGTGACATGAAGTCATTATCATCCTTTAAACATTTTTACAGTAACTTTTAAGGGTGTGTTGTGTCACACATGTGATCAAACCTGTAAGAGGTATAGCTGAAGATGTTATATATCATGTTATATTTCCAAATAAAGCATGTAACATGTTGCAAAGTAAGTTAGCATACATGACCCAAGTTTATTTTGAAGACGACAGTTTGTGGATGTTGAAACATTTGTCTGAAGCTTATACAAAGATAATATGCATTTTTGCTTGCAATTAAGAAAAAAATGCAATTAAAATTTGTAATTAAAAATTAACATTTAAACATGTCAGTTGTAAAAGTGAGAAATTTGTTAGCATGTGAGTAGGAAAGTGGGAAGATTGTTAACAATGCAAAAACCTCTAAAATGTTGACTCAGCAGCTGATTATTTTGATATTGTATTTTACCTAGTTCCATTATCCGAAACCAGTAAAATGTGCTCAATAATAACTAAAGAAGACTTAGAAATGACCAAAAAATTGCAGTGGGTTATAAATACTGCATGGTTTTCTACAGTTTAATGATGATGATAGGGGAATTAACAACTGCATAATGTGTAAATACATGCATGCTAGTGACTGTGTCACTCAAGAGTCGTAAGTCCCATTCACAACAAAGTTGAACTGCAAACTAACAGATCAGCGGATCATGTATGGCCAATCCACATGAAAGCTTGCCGCATAATTCCCTGTTAGACCCTGGATAGATTCCCAGGAGGATTATATGGCAAGCTTTCCATTAGGTCGGCCATATTTGACTCTGTTAGGCTGTGGATCATCTCTGTTGTGACTGTTCTCATATATTATTTACACACATATTTCCCATCTTTTTGACACAGATCATTCTGAACACCTTTTTTTACATTACGTGCCACTGGATTTTTTCTTTCCTTTTTGCTACTGGAGCATGTAAATGGACAGAAATATGCACTACCACATTGTCACAACATTGAACCCTTTACATTGTTAGCACTCCATTAAGACTGCATAAAAACCTTAAATTGGATAACCAGTCCATTAAGAGTACTTGCTACAATATTTCTTTTCATGTTTTATTGATTTTTTTTATTGTTTGTCTTGGGAGATGGCAGTAAAAGCATGACAGTGAGAATGTGTTGAAATCATCTGTGGTAAGGCCAGTGTAGGAAAATGAGTCTGGAAGCATGACATGGTTCAATGTGGGCAAAGTTCTGTCTGAATGATGTGAGAGTTTCTTATCGAAATAAAAGTGGCATCTATACAGCATTACTTTGCAGAACAACTCATTTCAGTATTTAGACTTTGGTGGCTGAATATCAGTAGTAACTTCTTGACTATTATTAAGCCCATTTCAAATTATACAATAATGAACATGAACCATTAATTTTTTGCACACTGCTCTGTGTACAGCTTGTGGCATTTAAGATGTTAACATGGAGTTTCATGACTTTACCCTTAGGGTCCCCAAGTTTGTCCTTAAGATTTCCATTGCAAGCTGTAAAATGTATTTTTAAAGATCTTTTTTCTGTACTGAGTATATTAAAACTCGGTGTGTTTTAAAAGTTCAGCAATATGTGGAAAGATAACATGATTACTATTCTAGATGAGATTTTAGGATATTCATAATGGAAGTTAACTTGCTTATGAGCTTTTTATGTTCCTCGTCTCAGTGGTTTCTGGGAGAAATATAGCTTATTTTTTAAAAACAATTATTGGTGTTTAGTTTTTTATGCTGCAGTCTTATTATTATAAATAAAACTTGTAGTTATTTCTATTTACTTCAAGGTTTATACTTAAAGGTACAAGTTTAAAATGTTTAATTAGTTTCTTATGGATAAATACTTTGTGTCTAGACATTCTAAGGATTGAATTAAAAGAAAGTGATTGTCATAAGTTGTTTCTTTAAAGGAGAGATTGTCATACTTTGTTTCTTTAAAGGATTGATTGTCATAATTTGTTTCTTTAAAGGATTTGATTAAAAGAAAGTGATTGATATAATTTTCTTTTTCATGATGTACCTCAGAATATACGGTAAGTACCTACTTTTTATATTATAAATGCAAATGCCTAGCAACCAGCTTTTGCGCAGTCAACACCAATAAAATCTTGTTTAGGGATGAAGTTACACCCCATACCGATTGCTATCTCACCTCAAAATAGAACGGTGTTAAATTGATGATTAAAGCTTTCAGTTGCCTATGCTTATACATTGCAACAATAATATATATACAGCGATATTTTATATTTACGAGGTTTTTAAAATTGATTTAAATGAGCACAAAGATAGTTGCATTATTGAATAATTATGTGTAGGAAAAACTTTTTCGGTATCTGGATGGGTTACAATATCCTTAAGAAAGGATCTTTTTGTCAAAATTCACAACAGTAATCTCACTAGAGTTGACAATTCAAATCATTGCCACTAAACCCAAACAAATACCACCATATTAATAGTAAAGTAATAGCATAACTTAAAAAATAAAATCAAAGGGAATTGTTTCATATTTTTTCCCAAAAAATTATTTTGAACCCGTATTTTCTGCTTTCTTTGCTAAACTTAACCTTCTGTTGTTTTTGCTTTAATTAGTATATTACAGGAATGAAAATCAATGCTTATTTTCCAGTGCTCTTTTGTACCAAGATTTTCAATATACATTGAAACCCGTTATGAAAACAATAATGGAAGCTCAGAAAATGTAAGTTATTGATTTTTTTTTTGCATTTTATAATAAACCTGTACTTCACAGAATTTTCTCAAATTGATACTGTCATTTAATTTTAATGATTAGAGCCCAGCTTAGATAAAGTTTTAATGAAAATGTATGTATTTCTTTCCTTAAACTGATCTGAATGCAACAGTAACACTGAATGAAAAATGTATTTATCTTGTAAATTGTAGACATGGATATTTCTGGCTTAAAGTTCTATTATTGATGATTTTGAAACTATAAAGGCTCAAGTTTATTGTGCTTTAGAATAAACTAATTAATTGCCGTTGGTGTTATAAGGCACAGAAGTGAGATTTGAAGTTTGTGGGATTCCATGAGATTTTGATACTTCCGGAGATATTCAGTAATTGTGTAATGTTTAAGCAGTCTAATCAATAGTAACTACAACTGTCAACATGTTTTTTTCCTTTGTTTTTGGGTGTAGTCAACGAAGCAGCAGCAGTGTTCTCCTTTTTTTATTTTTATTTTTATATAAGCTCAAACAGGGCAAATGGGAAAGGCAATGTTGGTAGATTATAACAATCATAATAATGAACTTGCAAACAAGATTGTGAAGCTGTCCTTGGAAGTGGGTGCGTTGTGAAATAATGTTGCAAAATTCGCAAAATTATCAGGCACATGCAAACGAAATTTTATTTTTGGAAAAATGAAAAAAAAGGGGTTAAAATTACAACATGCAAAGCTGATGGGCCCAAACATTTGCTAAATGATTTATCTTTTTTTTTCTAGTGTTTGGGTCTCTCCCAAGAAGACCTTGATGTCAGAGAAGTTGAACATCTTGACATTGCATATGATCCTTTACCTGAGAAGTATTACAAAGAGGAAGAGGTAGGTAATTTAGGACTGTTGTGCTCAGTTACAGATTTCAGAAAGACTTCATTAGCACATTGATAAATGCATAAATAATCTTGGTTGAATAAGAGGATTCTAGAGTATGTGGCTCCGAGTTAAATCAGATTGGTTTTAATCATGAATTATTATATTTACTTTGAAAATGTGATTGCTAATTTGATTCAAAAGTTTGTCTTCAAAGAATTTTTTTTCAATGTAATATGTGTCTTCAGAGGATATTTTTAGTGTTGGAATTTAATGAAGTTCTGGTCTGTAGCTTAAAAAAAATTGCCAGTGTGTTTCCATAAGTTTTATATAGAAAAACAACTGACTTGCTTCAGCAGAATCTACAATTATTCTGCTTTTTTCAAAAAGAGTCAGAATAATACTATATGTAAATTGTATGAAATAAGTAATCTTTTGGAGAAGCATCTGAAATATTATGAAGGATTGCGTGTAGTAGACAGAAGCCCTGACAACCATTGTTTTCTGCAGTGCCAGAAAACCTCAGGTCAGATTACCATGGCATTGTTATAATTGCCTTTAGTAAAGACGTTCATTATGTTGCCAAGATATGTCAGAAAGTCATTTTTCATATCTCAAATTTGCATTGTTAAAGTTTGGGTGCATTGGGCTCTTCGATTAGCTCAATTAAGGCCAATCTAAATCCCTAGAGAACGTCCAAAAAAGAGCTCTTTGCATTATATGCCCTGAACTTACATATAATGAAACAATGAATGTCACTGAACTCCCCACCTTAAAATCTTTTTGTAGTAAATTGTGCCAAAAAAATGTTTAATGAAATCCAATTACCTGCACATAGACTGGGTTCCCATCCCTAGATCGATCTAACAGGATCGGTCCATCTACACGGGGTCCCTTGCGAAATTGCTTTCAGCCCAAGCGTCTTAGATGTCTGGGATGCCCGCTAAGGCCCCTATTTCACACAGACCACGAATCCCACGAATCGCCAAGAATTGAAAAATTTTAGGATTCGTGAGGATTCTTGAGATTTTGCCAATTTTCTGGTCTAATTCGACATGCTCATGGTTCAGTTACGATACAGGTACGATAGTGTTACGAATATTCGTGGGATTCGGCTGGAATCGTGAGAATTTGCCAATTTTCTGGTCTAATTCGACACGCTCTACTATTCAGTTACAATACAGGTGCGATAGCGTTACGAATATTTGTGGGATTCGGCTGGAATCGCACGAATATTGTCCAGAAATTCACTACGATTTTTTGGAATCGGGAGTTCATGGCCAAATCTTTGAACAGCTTAAATTTTTTGCCACGAATTCCCGATTGATCAAGAATTGCAAGAACTGACTACGATTATATACGAATCTGTTTAGAACTTCACGAACTGATTACGATTCAACCACGAATCCTGAAATTTTCAATTCCTGGCGATTCGTGGGATTCGTGGTCTGTGTGAAATAGGGGCATCAAAGTTTTTGCCACCAATTCCTGTTGGTCACGAAGTGCAAGAACTGACTACGAATATATACGAATCTGTTAAGAACTTCGCGAGCTGATTTTGATTCAACCATGAATTGTGAAATTTGTCAATTCCTGGTCATTCGTGGGATTCGTGGTCTGTGTGAAATAGGGGCATTAAGCTGCTAAATGAAAGTTAATTACCCCTATCAGTCTCAGCAGGTGTGACAGACATCTAAGCCACCCAAGTTAATTGCAATGTACCAATGAACTGTGTTTATGAACTTTTTGCTTTTAAAGGTATGACAAACAATATATTTTAGTCATATTTTTTCCCTTCAATATTTATTTTAAAAGTACACTTTTTACCTAATCCCATTTTTAATACTGTGCTTTACATTTTATGTATACATTCAATGTATGTTTGTATGTTTTATATATTGCAGAGAAGCACAATAAACCCCTTAGTCTTAAGCTTATTATTATCATTATTGTTACCTATTGGGTATGTGGTTACTGTGAAACAAAACCATTATTTCATGTTGGTATTTTGCCATTATGTGGAGGCATGTAGCTAGAAAAGTTGTGACATTTTGATGGTTTAAAAAAACAGGCATGTTGCCTTCTAAATACATCCTTGAAATGGATTATTGTTAGAAAGAAAGCAATTATTGCTGTTTCAAATGTATTTTCCATGAATCTAAAAAAAGATGCATTTTGTGGTATGAAAACGTGTTTCATAACGTATACATAATTACTACTTTGTCACCATACAGACTTCTTTAGGGAAACAAATTGGAAACCAAATATTTATAGGGTTTTTTAATCTCCTTACATTTAAACAGTGCTGTTGCTAGTATGAAGACTTATGCAATTGGGTTTGATAAGGTCACAACTTCAGTTTTTTATGTACAGACACAGATNTTCACTACGATTTTTTGGAATCGGGAGTTCGTGGCCAAATCTTTGAACAGCTTAAATTTTTTGCCACGAATTCCCGATTGATCAAGAATTGCAAGAACTGACTACGATTATATTCGAATCTGTTTAGAACTTCACGAACTGATTACAATTCAACCACGAATCCTGAAATTTTCAATTCCTGGCGATTCGTGGGATTCGTGGTCTGTGTGAAATAGGAGCATCAAAGTTTTTGCCACCAATTCCTGTTGGTCACGAAGTGCAAGAACTGACTACGAATATATACGAATCTGTTAAGAACTTCGCGAGCTGATTTTGATTCAACCACGAATCGTGAAATTTGTCAATTCCTGGTCATTCGTGGGATTCGTGGTCTGTGTGAAATAGGTGCATTAAGCTGCTAAATGATAGTTAATTACCCCTATCAGTCTCAGCAGGTGTGACAGACATCTAAGCCACCCAAGTTAATTGCAATGTACCAATGAACTGTGTTTATGAACTTTTTGCTTTTAAAGGTATGACAAACGATATATTTTAGTCATATTTTTTCCCTTCAATATTTATTTTAAAAGTGCACTTTTTACCTAATCCCATTTTTAATACTGTGCTTTACATTTTATGTATATACATTCAATGTATGTTTGTATGTTTTATATATTGCAGAGAAGCACAATAAACCCCTTAGTCTTAAGCTTATTATTATCATTATTGTTACCTATTGGGTATGTGGTTACTGTGAAACAAAACCATTATTTCATGTTGGTATTTTGCCATTATGTGGAGGCATGTAGCTAGAAAAGTTGTGACATTTTGATGGTTTAAAAAAACAGGCATGTTGCCTTCTAAATACATCCTTGAAATGGATTATTGTTAGAAAGAAAGCAATTATTGCTGTTTCAAATGTATTTTCCATGAATCTAAAAAAAGATGCATTTTGTGGTATGAAAACGTGTTTCATAACGTATACATAATTACTACTTTGTCACCATACAGACTTCTTTAGGGAAACAAATTGGAAACCAAATATTTATAGGGTTTTTTAATCTCCTCACATTTAAACAGTGCTGTTGCTAGTATGAAGACTTGGGTTTGGGTTTGATAAGGTCACAACTTCAGTTTTTTCAATATGTAGAAGCAGTAAAGTCAGATTAAGGTGAATCCTTGTTTTTCTGTTTTAAATATATTTATAAAGAAAATTGGCATTTGAAATGATTGAATAAAATTGGGACTGGTTTTTATAAAAATATTAGGTAATCAAGTTTTCTTGTATATTATTTGAATGTTTGCATTTAAAATCAAGTGATTGGTAAAGAGTGCAGATTCCATGCACACAACTGTATTTGGCAGTAAAATCACATAGCCAGTGGGACTGATTTTTAGTTTTACATTTTCAGACAGTAAAAGTTGCTTGAATTTGATAGATTGATACTTATATGTATTATAATCCTAGTTGGATACAATTTGGATTTGGCTTGTGTTAGGCATTTTGATGAGCACTTACATGCAACACAATAACTTTTTTGTGCAGCGTAGAGAGTACATAATGTAACACCTTGAATATAAGGTATACAAGATGCAAAGCTGGTAAACAACCATAACCAAAAAGCTGTAGTATAAAGTGTGCGTAACCAGAAGGAGTCTCTCTCTGATATTTCTTGTCAACAGTATTTTGCATACCCATGATGACATACATGTATGCTTTACTGTCAAGGAAAACACTAAAACTGGTATTGTCTCTTAAATAAAGAGTTTTTACCTTAAGAAGTGTTTCAGAATGAGCTGAATTTTTGTCTCTAAAGATTTACATTACTTTTTTTGTATTTTTCAGGACTGCACAAAGTTCCAGTCTAAGAAGACAGGCAGAGGTCCATTAATGCCAGGATGGAGAGTAAGTACACGGGTAGATTGTCAAATTATTTATTGGAAATGAAAGTAAAAAATTAAACGGCAACTTTCAATTCAGATGGAATCAGAGGGATATCAGCCATATGCTTTTGACAGGTGTATATTGTGCATTGATTAATGACATAAGAAATATTGATATTAAGATTTCTCTCCGACTTGGCAGTGTTAGGTCACTTTTAGGGTAGTTTTTTTCTTGAACTTGAGGCAGCTCACATGATTGGTTTGTTAAACTAAAGATTTGAGAGAGAGAGAGAAAGAGAGAAATCATGGCATTAGTTTAAAGATAATGGTTGAGGTAAAGAAACAAAGAGGTATTTTTCAACATAATATCATTGGTTTATCAATATCAGATTGTGGCACAGAATACTTGTTAATGGGTCTATGGTTCATGCAAGAGACCAATCTTTGAGAGCCAGAATCCCATGTTAGATGCACTGACTTCTGAAGCAAGTTATGTTGTTCTTCTCATTGTAAAACTACCTAACCCCACATCTTTTTATTTCAATGTATGTATGTATGAAACTGCTTTAGATCTGTTCTGCATGGTTATATAGCATTCAGGTGAATTGCACTTAAAAAGAGATTGATGGAGAAGTGGTCGTTGTAAAATGGATTTACTGTTCCTTTGAGAGTACATGTATCAGAGTTAATTTCTGTCCAGTATCATTATCTTTGCCCACAAGGAAATATGCACTGGTTCAGTGCATTGATATAGACTCTGTAGATGTAGGTTTTGTCTCTTATTTATGGATTGCAAATTTTATTGAAGGGAAATGGGTTTTTGTAAAAAAACTGTTGAACTTATATTTAAAATTGTAATTGAAGTTACTCCATATTTTTGTATGTTAAAAGTAGGACAAGGAAAGTATTTTTCTCGTTTGATTAGATTATTTCTCATAAAAGATTTGTTTCTGCATATTTTTCAAAATGTCTTAGAACTAAAAATTCCATGCTAATGAATGATATTTTATTTTTTAATTCCATTAACCAATGAATTATTGAAATATTTAAGATTTCATCTATGTGCATATCTGATAATAGAAGTACAAAACATTATAGAAAGCATTTGTGAATAATAATGTCATCACTCTCACTTGAATGAAATTGTTTGAGGATATTCAAGAAATGATGCCTTTTCACAGGACACCATGGATCCCATCATGTGTTCATACAAAGCAGTTAAAGTAAAATGTGAGATATGGGGAGTCCAGACTCGTATGGAAAGCTTCATGCACAGAATTGTGAAGGACATCCTCTTAGCTGGACATCGACAAGCCTTTGCCTGGATTGATGAATGGCATGGTAAGTGTTCCAATTCCATATGCAGAAAGCATTTTGGTGTGTAAATCCCTGGTTCCTCTCATAGGAACTCCATGTTTCAACATAAAACAAAATTGAATTCCTTTTTTATGAAATCATAAATTTTTACTCTTCCAAGCAGAATAAAACAAAGAATTTAAAGCTAACTAGTTAAAAAGAAAATAAAGTCAATTGACATTTCATTGTGTCATTGAATTTATTTAGATATTTTAGATTTTAATACATAGAATTGGCCTTTTTTACTTTTATCTCAATGCTTAAAGTAACAACTGTGGATAAATGATTTGCCTTAGAAAAAAATGACCGCACTGAGAGTGAAACAGATGGCAGTGAAAACGCATCAGTTATGTGTCAGAAGAAAAATGTATGCTATACAGCCTAGCTAAAGTTTACAATATTTGAGTGTAAAATATTTCAACACATCTGATATTATCTTACTACAGTGATTGATTTTATGTCAGGCAGATGTACTTGGTCTGGCAGTGGCAAGCCTAAAATAGTCAATGGAATAATGTAGTAATCGTGTTAGAAAAAGGGTATAGGCTCTCTGGTCAAATGGCAGCTGCTTGAGGTATAAATAGATGATGTTCTTCAGCTTGAATTGATCAAAACTGATGCTGCAGTAATTGAGAGTATTACTGATGTACATCTTTAGTCTCTTACACTCACTTCATGTTACAATTTGTAATCATTGGAACATTTTCTTCCAACATTTTACTTTTATTTTTTCGTGTTATGTATTAAATTATGAACCTGTATTTACCCTTTGAAGCTATATTTTTTGTAATTGTTAGAAAGGAGTTATAAACTCGAATTGCTGTGGAAAGGTGGAATTATTTATGTTGAAACAAAGTAGCTTCCATTTCTGATTATCAGAACTGGAATTAAAGAAAAAAAAACAATAAACAAACAAAAATCAAATTCACAAATACTTTTGATCATACCTACATAGACATATATGTGTATATTTTGCCTCTCTATTTATGACTTAGGTATGACAATTGATGACATCAGGGAATATGAAGACAAAATGCACCAAGAGACAAACAAGAAAGTTGGCGTCAGTGATTCGTCAATACAAAATGACTCCACAAACAATACACCGGAGAATGGAGATGAAGGAACGAGCATATGAACAACACCAAGATTATATAAAATTATTATATGTTTAATATATATAATAACATTACTTTGAATATGATATTATTTTTATAAATAGGATATAAAGTTCACTTCTTAGTCTACCAAACAAAAAGTATTAACCTCATTGGATTTTAAAAAGAATTTATAATTTTCAGTGTGTTAAAGCCATTCTTGGTTGAATTTGAACAAAATAAATTATTTTCAGTTGCCAGTTGCTTTAACAGCCATTTCATTTCATATATTAAGGACCAGTTGGACTGTGCACAGGATGCAAAACACTCTTTAATATATATGAAGCATAAGGAAAAAAGTCAAATGTGAAATATTTTCTAAATTTATTCTATGAATGCCACTGAACAGGAACAACGGGGATTATCCGAGATGGCCCAAAGTCTTGCAACATCATCTGTAAAATCAAGTGAAATTTGATGGGGGAGAGAAGGTTAAAAATAATGGTAAACTAATGAGTGTGAGGTAGCAAGAAATAAAAGCTGACCAAGTTTATCCATGGATATTTTTCAGGTTTTCTCTTGTGATCTGTGGAATAACAGTCACATACACGACACTACATGTACGTATTCACCTTGTTATGCATGCTACTTTTGCATTGCTTTCTATAACTAAAAAGTAAATCCCATCTCACTTACTCATACATTTTTTGGGCTCATATGATGTAATGCATTTCCAGCAGCTCTTTTAGGATGATCCCCATTTTTTCTTGCAAGACTGGCCCTGTTGACATGAATTTATGATATGCGGTGTTATTTATGATTTAGACAAAGGTCACCACCAACAATGGAAAGCTTGTTGTTCTTATATGGTAATCAGTCAACCAGTTATTGTTTTGTGTAATTCTGCATTAATTGCACGTCAAATAAAAAAAGCAAGTTTATTGATGTGCTAAAGATTATATTATGTTACAATGTCTGTTAAGCTTATTTGATTTCTCGTTTCTCTCTCTTTCTGCCATTCTGTCATGTGATATATAGACTTGTGGTTAACATGAGTCAAACATAAAATGAAAATTTTCCATATAATGTTTAGGGATTGGGCAAAATGACAATCACACTTCAACTTGTAACTTTATTTATTATTATTATTTATTGTAATCTGTAAGAGTGTATCTTATTAATAATAGAAAAAACCCTATTTTCTCAAAATAAAAGGGTTTGTTTGACTAGAAAGAGCAAAATTTCCTAGAAAATATCCAACAAATAGCAAAGTTGGATTCTTTGAATGTGGTCATTCACATAGATGATGATCTCTGTGTCAATTTCTAGCTGCGTCCTGTTGAGATAATCGCTTACTGAATCTGATCAGCACAACATTTAAAGGAGCAATTCTACTTAATAGTTGGTGGCTTCCCATCACAATGTCAAAAGAATCAGTGGCAACTCTCGATTTCAAATTATCATTAAGCTGAATGCCTGCATGCTGATGGAGACTTCATGCATTTTCTTGAATTTGAATACATTGCAGTGGCAGCCTTGGGTAAAGAAAAAGGTTTAATCTTTTATATTGTAACAGTTTTTAACAGAATTTTGATGGTTTGAGTGTCCATATTAAATTTTGTTAATGTTTTCCTGTATCACATAAGTTAAATTAGCCTGCCCTATAGATTTTACACCATTGAAAGATACATTTGTGTCAAGTATACATAGAAAACAGCAATAAGTAATTCAGACCTATGAACTTGAAGGCACTGTGTAAATATGCTTCTTGTCTACAGGGCACTGAAGTTTAGGTCAATAAGTAAATACAGTTTTTACTCCAATTTCTGTATGTATACATTGTGTGATATCAGAGCTGAACACAGCTTGCCTTACTAGTTTGTTCATCTACACTTTTCTATTGAGAACATTCCTAAAATGTTGCACAGACTTTTACCCCTTTATTGTTTATATCTTGTCACTATTATTAATAGAAGTGAGCAATGCACTGGGATGATAAGTGTTTTTTATTAGAAATGGCTCCTGTTGTAGAAGTAATTGGGGTATTTTAAGTGTTGAGACATATCTGACAGTTTTACAGGTGCTTGATATTCATTAATACGATAAAATATGTTGAAACCTGCATTTATTGTCGCTTTTATTGACAGAGACTAAAAGACTGTTACAAAAATTTTTTATCAAAAATTACAAAAGAGTAGATTAGAGTTGTACATTTGAGTCAGGGCGCACCTGAAAGTAACAATTCTTAATACTTGGGATCCTGTTTCAAGAGAAAGAACCCAAGCACACTTTGACCGCTAACATAAAATCTCTGAAAATGTTTCTTATCATCTAAAATGTATAACTGACACCCTTGTATCAATCTTATGTTAATTACATAAATAAAGATGCATATTCATAATGAAAGCAGTGAAAAAATTAAATGATTCAAAGTGATATTTTATGTACTATGTGTATAGTAGTGCCATGTTGCAGGCTTGTACCACTTCAGTAATACATTTAGCTAAAGCACCATTCTTTAACAAAATCCTTCAAGGTTGACAAAGTAAAAAAAAACATTGTTCTTGCTTGTTGGTTTCTACCAATTACAATTTTCATTTCGTATTTATAAAATATTTTATTTACAATCATACATCCACATTAATGAAGATGGTGTTTGGCTGTACCTAAATGAGAATATACATTTCTTTTATGCATATTCAAATGGTAAGATGAAGAGTTATCAAACTTAATAAAATAACACTACTTCTAACAAACCTCTTTTAAAAATATAATACTTCCACTAACATTGACAACACTTGACATCTATCACATTTTAACCTTTTTTAATGCTTAGAGCATACATTTAACAGAATACATATAATGCACTTAAAAATGGCATGTTTAATAAAATGATAAATTTTTTTAATTTGCCCCATAAATGAGAAAGAAAAGCTTGTGGCCTAAAATTAGAACAGCAAGCTTACTTATTGTTTACAGTCAATAAATTTAAAACTTAACAAAAAATAAGATGTAAAAATTTATAAAACATTTTGTTTCCTTCTGCATAAAAGTTTATATTAGCTCTTAAAAACAATAAATACAATTATTATGAAGTATTCTTCTGTTAACTATTTTCATTTTAAATATTACATGGTAATTGTGTCCGTGGTCAATTTGAAACTTAATAAAGAAATTTTACAACTTGGCCATTTTTCTGCAAGGTTCAATTGTTGCACAAATCTAATTTTGACCAAACAAGCATTAGGCAAAAAGCTTTTCTGAGTCACTACATTACATCAGATTTAAGACAATCAAATTGTCTGACAAAAAAGCATGCAACACAACTTTTTTTCCATTCAGAATTATTTACCAGCCATATGAACCTGCTAAAGAACCAGTCTGAGCCTTAATCTGCCAAGAACCAATTCACATCTTTGTACTGAAATCAGTGGGATTATCAACGATCGACTGATTGATATATCCTTCCAAAGGTGTTCCCACAGGGCTTGTTGGTGGAGATCTGTGGCTGGAAGAAATGCTTCTCGTCCTGGAGTTTCTGCGGGAGATGCTGCGCCTACGCTCCCTCTCTTCCTCTTCAGGTGAAACATTGTCATCTCGCTGCTGTTTGGCAAAGCTAAGAAAGACCTGCTCTAGAGTGGACTGGCTGAAGCTGTATTCCTCAATACCAAGGCTGCCTTTGGCTAAATTAAAAGAGAGGAGCTTCAGTCACAGCCATACAAATGAACTATAAGCTTAAGCTTACAGATTTTTCAAAAAAAGAAAAAAATTAGGAGTGAGCTTTGTGGCAAGGTTGAATTATCAAAAATTTAGTAACACATATATCAAATATTGTTTAAGAGGGTCCCAATGGGTATTTTTGTTACCTGTGAAAGCCATTTTATTTCTCACCCAAGTTGTGAAATGTTCATATCATTTAGCATGATCAGCAGAGCAACCCATTCCCGTGATTCATGATTATCAACTCGCATTTTCAATGATATATGAATTTTAAGTTTTATTTACTGATATTTGTGAACTGACGATTTTATTTCTGGTGAACTGTAATCACTCCCCCCCACACACACACACACACGCATGCATGAGACCTGCTTTTAACAGTATATCTATATCAGAAATTGATGAAAATAATTGGTTTAAAGAGTAGGTATTGAATAAAATCAACTATGTAAACTAAGAGATTGTTTTTAAATACATATTGATGTGAGATAAATTTCAATAACTATTTCAGGTTTGGGAATAAAAGTTATTAATGTACCTTCTTCAAGCTTTGAAAATGTTTTGGATAGTGACACAACACCCGTCTGAGGGATCTTATAGACTGTCCTCTCCCCAAAACTCTCAGCTTCTTCTGCAGTTGGGAACATATTAATGACAAAATCTTTCAGAGCTTCTCTCTTTTCATCCATTACTTCCATGGTATCACCATCCTCTGTCTTTAGCTTCACTTCAAGAACATAGCCACTGCCATATGTATGCTTCAGGTGTTGGGTTGTACCAAGACATCTTGTGATAATAAAATAAAAATCATATGATATTGTAAAAGAAAGAAAAGAAAGATTGTATCTTTATTAAACTTAAACATGTGGCACTGCTTTATTTGTGCACAAGTTAAAGAAAGACAGTACCTCATTATACATGAATCAACTATAACATCAGCTGAGGCACGTGATGTCAACCAACAAATATACTGGCATGCATACATTTTCATGAAAACATTGTTGGCATCGTACGTACAAAGGCCTTGACAAGTAAAATTGTGCAACTTGTTATCTGTAACTTTATTTTCATAACTAATTTATATTTTGCTGGCAAAAGAAAATAGCCGATTCGTGATTCACTTAAATTAATAAAATCTACTATTAAGTGACTTACTTGACCTCCCCATTGACCATGATGGCCAAACGAGAGCAGAGGGCATCTGCTTCCTCCATGTAGTGTGTGGTCAGTATGGCTCCCCTCCTGTCCCCCTGGAATCTGTTGCTTATAACATCCCTATTACAAAAGTTTCATTTAAAAGCATATTTCAAACTTTAATAGATTATTGTACGATTTGATTTCACCTGATTGATATCCACATGTGGTTTTGTATATAATTATATATGCATAACTAGAGATGTGGATATGAAGTTCCACAAACAATCTGTTCTGATATTTTTGTTTCATTAGACTTACAGAAATTTAAGGTGTGTAAGATCAAATGACTAGAATGATTAAATTATTATTTATGCCACTTTGATGCTTGGTTGTTATTCTTTACATTTGATTTTATAACTTTTACATGTGTAAGACCAACTACAATATTACTTTCAAGCACCTATTTTTGAATTTTTCCAAAAGATATACTTTGCAAAGACAAAAACCTTAGAGTTCTCAATATTTCAAAATATTATTAGAAAGATCACGTATAAAATATACTGCATGCCATACCACAAAAACCTCTTGGACTTGGGATCCATTCCTGTAGATGGCTCATCCAGTAACACTGCTTTTGACTCCCCAAGCATGCACATTGCAAAACTCAACTGGAAAACCAAACTTGTCAATTTATAGACATTTAATTTGCCTTTGCTGCAGACACAAGACAGGATAAATTAAAATGGTTCAAATCAAATTTCTAGCAAATGTGCAAAACAAATAAAATAAAACAAAGAGGAAACTTCAAAACCAAATGGATTAAATGTGTAAAGTGCATGTAGGTAAACTTGAATGACGAAAAAGAAACTTTACCAATTTACTTAATAAGTAAACTTGAACAATTAGAAAGAGACTCTCCCAATGCCTTTCTTACAAAAGTGTGGTCTGAATTAAAGATTGAGCAATAAGTAAAAGATATGTTAATGTACCTTTCTCTTTGTTCCACCAGACAGTTGTCTGGCTTGTTTATTAGCATGCTCTTCAATATTCAATGCTTGAAGATACCTAGAAAAAAATTTTAATCATTATAATTGCTTTCAATCTTTCATGGAACATGTAGGTCATCAGGCCTGTTAACATATATCTTGACACTGCTCTCCTCTGTGTGCCAGTTGATTCAGTCAAGTTTATATTACATGTATCATATGCAGCAAGTCTATTTCCTCTAACCATATCTCAAACCAATAGCCATAATGTTTAGTATTTAAAAGTCTTATTTTCCTGTTGTAATTTCAATCAATAGAAGTAGTTAGAAATAGTAATAGTAAACATTGTATCATTATCCAATTTATTCTGTCAGTGAATAGCTACTCAGCTGATGTTTGTACTTTCATTCTTTCCAACATGAAATAAACCGTATTGTATTGTATTGTATTGTATTGTAAGTCTAAGCTATACATGTAGTAGGTACTGTAGAGCGCTCAATTTTACTTATAGCATCTTTCAACATCTTTCAACACTGATCAATAAAAAAAACTGAACAATAAAATATAAAATATACAACCTTTCAGCAATATATTTAATATCCTTATCTGGAATTCCCCTGCATGCAGCATAACACTCCAGATGTTCTCTTGGGGTGATGTAGTCCCACAGTGCATCATGCTGAGGGCAGTAGCCCATAGCTCTAAATGCATCAGAGATACTGGATTTAATGTCAGTGCCTGCTACAGTCACCTGCATTAGGAAAGGAAATTCTGGATTTAATGTCAGTGTCTGATACAGTCGCCTGCATTGTGAAAGGAAATTTTAAGCCTAAAAAATTGTTTCATAAGAAGTTCTTGAGAATCTTAAATGAACATCAAGAACTATTGATGGTACACCCATGTGTAAAGTAGTGCATGATCAGTGACCATGTGATTTTTTTTCTTTTTCCATTTACTTTGATAACAGTAAACTGTACTGAAGTCCATTTTTATAATGAATGAACCAAAGAAACTAAATACAAAAAGGATACAATCTGAATTACTATGTTCACAAGTAATTTTCATAATTGTACTTTGATAAACAAAAAACATAATGAGAACAAGTTAATTACCGAGCCCAAATAATTTGACTATAATAATGAAAACCATAAACCAATATGTTACCTTTCCTTTGGTTGGGCAGGTCTCAGCAATTATCATGTTTAATGTTGTAGTTTTACCAGCCCCATTTGGCCCAAGCAATCCAAACACCTCTCCAGCTTCCACAGCAAATGAAGCATTTCTCACTGCCACCCGTTTTCTCTCCTCTTTTTTCCCTTTTTTCTTGGCAGCTTTCTTGTCTCTTCTCAGAAATTCTTTTCTCAAGTTTTTCACCATGACAACAGGAACCTGATTTTTAATGAAAAAGTGGTTTTAATCCTTTTTTTCAAATATGAATTTAACTGCATTACTAAAATAATTAAAAAGTGAAATGAAACATGATGTGAACTACATGCAATAAGTATTTCACTGACAACCTTAGTCCCCATTAAGTTTTTCAAACATACAGACTAATATGGAAATTTAAAATAAATATATAATTGAGAGCAACTGTTAAGGTAAAGGACAAGATACATGTAAATCCAATACAATGCCAATGAAGTATTATGTTCAATCTTCGATTTTCACATTGAATCACGTACTGTTGCTGGGTAGTCATCCATTCAAATTCTCAAGATTACAATACCTTTCTACTGTCACTAATTCTCCAGTTTTCAACCCTGTCTCTCTCCTCCAAGACATCACTGTTCTCTCCCCTGATAACATCATCATTTTCCTCTGGGACATTGGCAACTATGGGTCCCTCTTTCCCCCCACACTTGATGGCTTCCACTACACTACCACCTGTACTTTTCACATCCAATACCCGAAGCAATATGAACAATATAAAAAGGTGCGCAATGGGCTGAAATGATAAACATTAGAGTTCAATTATCTATTTCAACTTATGAATACCTGAACAATCTAGTGTATAAGGTGCCATTCATTGTTTAGCATGTGCACTACTACATAAATGTATTTGTACTTAAAAATTGCCAATTGTCTAAAACAAAACTGACAATGTTAATTCAACTCTTCATGTTTGGTTACAATTAGGATTAAATCTTTATTGCTTCCATAGGATCAGAAATACAATTCATTTAAGTACAGGTATAACATTATAATACTGGAATCTTAGATAAGAATAAAAAAAGCAAAGCGCTGCTAAGAAATAAAAAGTTAAAGCTATGGTGATATCATACAATGCACTTCTGAGTCTACTTCAGCCTACATCAGTTTTTTCTACATTTGTTTCTCTTAAGAGGATTTTAAAAATTTATTATTTATTTAAAATAATAGCTAACTCACCAGCAACCAAGAGGGTAAAACATATTTATTCCAGTCAAAGTAATATGAGAATGGTACATCCCCAGCCTCTGCTAACAGGACATGAGTTCTGTGAATCTGAAGGGTAATGTAAAATGCCAATATTAATTGAAAATATTTAATCATTAAAAAATTTTCGAAATGATACGAATGCACAAAGTCAATTCTTGACCCATTATTATTTTCACTCTGTGGTTCATAAATCACTGAAGACACATTTCAACTTGTATCTACACTTTAACTGGTATAAGTATTATTCATATCATTTGGTAATGCAAAGGTGATGTTTTTTTTTTTTTTAGTGTGTGTATATTTCCCACAAAACTTTGTTTTAAACATATTTTTACATTGTCAACTTAATCCTGTCTCACTGTATACAATTTCATAAAGTCACTTTTAGGGGTGAACATGTATGGCAAAACATTATCTGTACCTTTTCTATGTAGTGCAAACCTCCCATGATGAAGTAAGGAGGGCTGACTGCTGTGCAGATCAAATGAACTATCCCTGCAGCATCCTCCTGGTTACTACCATCTAATATTGCCACAGCCATGTAGGGTAACAGAGAGGTCTGGAAATGTGTTTTTCTAGTTTTGAATACTATAACTATAAATATTTTTGGTTTATACTACAAGTTTTTAATTCAATACTGAAATGGGTCTTGCAAATGGAGAATAAACAAAGCAATATGGGGAATCCGAAACACTGTAGTTAAAAGAATTTGTCTGGTTGGATAAACAGGTTTATACTAAATGCTCACCTAGATCTTTCAAAAAAAGTTTTTTTTTTGACAATTGCAATGGACAATAGAGAAAGCATAAACAAAATTTATTAACAAATAGAATGATATCTTATAAAAATGTTGATGAGCATGCTACTAAATGGTTGGACATCAAAATAAATCTTTTTTAGTAAAGAATAAAGAGATGAAGATTGTAAACCTACTACAAAACATATTATTCTGCACGAGGAGTCAAATATTAAAGAGAAAGAAAATCAAGATCATAAATTTAAAAAACCTTCAACAAGTACTTACAAATATAAAGACATTTGGCATGAAGGCCATGGCATTCTCATATTTGGTGAAAGCAAATGACCACACATAGGAGTACATGATGTTTATCGGCATGAACAACAAGTATAAGATAATAAGGCTCACTATAGCTCCAGGAACAAGTAGGGATTCAACCTAAAATTTTAAACAAAATATTGGACTGTGCTTTTCCTGTTTTTTAACTGGGATACTTATATAACCAACAAATAAGATCAAAAGAATATTCATTTAATCACATGACATGGTTAATGAAAATATCAAATACTGTTTTTATTGCAATGCCTAAATTGGTAACTTTAATCTGAAATATTTAACCATGTCTCTCGACAATGATGCAGTTGGATTTGATCAGTCCACAGAAGTAGAGAATTCTCTATTTCTATGATCAGCCTTATATAATGTTAGAGACAAAATATTAATCACATTTGATTCTTTACCTGAAACGCCAGTATAATAATGATAGAGAGAACAGGCACCACTGCAAACTGAACTATATCTACCAGAAACATGCTTCCCCAGTAGATATTCAATGTTATTCCTGATATCCTCAGCTGACTTCTAGACTTGAACTGAAATATAGTTTGCATATAAAATTAACCTGCTGCTGTTGAAAAACAATAAAAAATAGAAAAGCACTCAGAGAGAACAGACTTCTGCCAAGGTAACTCAGTTTTAATTATCATTAATTGTTTATTTATTAGTTCTTTATTTAATTAATGAACCAATTAAATTAATTCCCAGTATTATCAATTATTACTTAATCAACAAATCCATTATAAAAATTTTAAATTTTAGTTAATTAATTAATTTGTCTATTTATTAATTGGTTGATTAACTGACTATCAATTGCCAGCAAAATCTGGCTCATTTTATACTTAATTAACTAATAATTGATAATTAGTTAATGAACTTATTAATTGATCACCACCAAAGTCTAGCCAGATGATTAAGATGACTAAAATACAACAATAACAGCAGTTATCAGTTTTAAACTAAAATAACTTTGATGAAAATTCAGCTGAAAAATTTATTTATATCATTACTATATAATATCATATACCAAATAAAATACTAAATGAACAATTTTAAAATAACATAATATAAAAAATCTTTGGGACCAGGCCCTGGGTGACATTCTGCACAGACAGCTGCCACCACGTGACACCAGTGACAGCTCAAAATCAGTTCAGGTGAAGAAGGTCTTGGGGTAACGTCAAAATGTAAGGATCTCTATTTCAACCTAAGATCCCGTGATATTTTTTAAAATTATCTTAGTATAATATTACTGGATGAATCAAAACTTTCACTTTGATATAAAACAAGGAATACTCCAAATCCCTATAAAAGACAAACAGTGAGCACAAAATTCTTACCTGTCGCTCCTTTACCAATTCCCCTGCAAATCCTGGGGCAACCATTACCATGCCCATGCCTATTAAAATAATGGCAGAAAATGCACCAGAGTCAAACACAATGGTTGGATTAATACTAGGCCAGGGAAGATTGGTTGTGTTTATGGTGGCATTGACGTTGGCTGGAAACCTTGTCATCTTTAGAACCATACTGTCTATGGTTCCAATAAGGGCAGGCAGTGAATGGATGGCTGTATCATTGTATATTACAGTGAAGTTTCTCTGGAATCAAAAAGATGTAGGAGGTCAATGGGACATAATAGAAAAATTTGCAGTGTATGTATCCAGGGGCGGATTGAGGCTGTCTTTTGGGTCTTCCAGAAGACGGTCAAATTTCTAAGTTTACATTGATGAGTACCTACTATTTTCTGTCGGAAGATGGTCAAAAGATGGAGGGTGGATCACCAAAGATAATGTGGAAGACTGTCAGAAAATATCTCTGGATCCGCCCCTGTGTATCTACTGGATAAACAGCATGGAACACTATTCAAAAGCTGCGAGGCTTTTATCTCTGACATAAAATCCACAAATTAATCTTCCGTGAAAGGCTGGTATCAGGGGAATGAATTAAATCTCCCATTACAGGAGGTCACAATATGTTTATAATGTCTTCTTAATTTGCACAAACAACAATGGTCAGTGTTTAGAAGGTAAAAAGGTATTTTTCTGGGGTAAGGGTGGAGCAGATTAGGCGTTTGACCATTTCTTTGCTGGGGACCCAGTGATTTACTGTTTGTGATGGGGGGGGGCACTTACCATTCCAGAGACAGACTGGTTGACCCACTGGTTGATCCTTATACCCATATTATGTGGTCTAGCATCAATAAGATTTGTGGAGGAATTTATCTTTTCAAACTGCAGGCCTTGTGCCTGGAGCAGGCACACATTCAATATGATGTCTGTAGTTGCTGTAATAAAAGATTATTATCAACATCCAAGGAATTTTTCTTAATTTTGATAAAACATTACCTGTCTCACCAAAGCAAGAAATATATCACATATTATTAAAGTTTAAACAAAAAACAGGAAATGAAAATAAGATTATCTTGCTCTCCTTAATCAGTCAACTAAAATAGTACTGCTGGGAAAGAACTAACCATGACAAGAATGCAGGCCATTGAAGGTTATTATTTACTTATGACTATTTACCATATTCAATTCAACAGCAATCAATGTGATTTGACCAATAATTCCCACTTACCAAAGCCATTTTCATCAATGTAGTACATGAGAGGTGCATTTCTATTTATGTTATTCTTGGTGTAGATATATTTAGCATCTGACACACTGAGTGGTTTTGGCGTCAAATCTGGATTCACTGAAACATACTTGGATAGAACTAATCCAATCACAATAAAAGTTATGGGTAAAAACAACTGGAAGATGATTGCCAATTTGTTCCTTATTTTCTTCAATACACCAACCATGCACAGTGCTTTGATCTGCTGCTTCAATGACACTGTGAGTGAGCCATGGTTGCCAACAAGAGACAATGCTTCTTCTCTAGTCAATTTGGACTCATCATCATCATCAACTGGGGCGACTTGGTTGTTGGAGCTGCTCTTCGTGTATTCATCTATGGCTTTTAGCTCTTCTTCCTCTTCACCTAACAAGGACAAAATTTTTAATGGAATGGCAAAGTTTAGGTATACTCTACATTCTGAGCCAGAATGCCAAATGGACCAGTAGATTTCATTTTGAGTATGTGTTACTGCCTGGGGCCTCAAATAAAAATAGAAATCTTTAAAGTTTTAATGAAGACTAGTTTTGATGTGATGGTTACAAATTCTAATTTTTCAATTAATACTGTAATGTCAGGGCCAATCAAGCTTGCTCTGAAACTCTTAAATTCACCAAAAATAAAAACTTTACATTTGATTATCTGTTTCACAAACCCACCTAATTTCAAGAAAACCTCCTCTAATGTTGTCATAGAAACACCATAACTTGTTATCCCCAATGCATCTCCCATGCTTATGCTACTCCCCTCATGTGGATTTTCTAGTGCAGCAAACAAATCTACAAATACAATACATCAAATACAAGATCTAACAAAGCTGTGTGCCAAGTCTAAATTTACGTACTAGTAATCGTAATGAATAAAAGTCAATATTAAATATTCTGATGGTTTTGTTGCATAATACCTAATTCATTCACAACTTACAACTTAATGACAGTGTACTCTTGCCTATTCTTTGAATTTTGTGTTTTGAACTTCATCTTTTTTTCATTTTTCTTTTGAATGAGCGTAAAATACTTAATCTTCCAATTGCAATTTAAACAATTCTAGGTGGAAAAAATTAGGAAGCAATCACCACATTTACCTGGAAATTTGTTCACGCTCTCTAATGGTAGTGTGTATGCTAGTTCACGTCCGTGAGTTCTTCCCACCTTGGCATCTGGCACATAGGTGCTCACCAGAGAGTTTACCTGCATGGCATCTGTGTCTGGTTGCACTACCATCCTTAAATAATATTGTACTGGCATTACAACAGCAATTGTTAAACTATATATCTGAATATCTCCAATCTGAATTTTTACAAAGATCTTGTACCCCTGTATATATGTATGTATACCCCAATAATCTAAGGCATAATATGTTTTTATATTACCCAAAGCCAGTTAATTCATGAATCCAATTCCTTCCAACAGTAAATTTTGTATTTTCTTACACTGCATACAAATAGCAGTTACAAAAATGTTAAACGGGAGTGTTAGAGTACTATCATTATGACAAACACATTTAAGGTTAGGAAATTGTACATGTATATATTACATGTATATTGTACTTACTGCAGATGGTATCCAATACCAAATCTGTTCTTCAAAAACAATGAAGAACCATAGCATTTCAATCGTCCTTTGCTAATTATTGCTTTGCGATCTGAAATAAGAAATTCAAGACTGCAATCTTAAAAAAAAAATGTAAACACCAAAACAAAAACCTAACAGATCAGCGGATCAAATACGGCGAACCAAATTGAACACTGAATAGGTTCATTGTGGGGTTTATGCACCAAGCTTTTAAGTGGGTCTGCCACTTTTGTTTTGTGGTTCTGTTTGTCTACAGATCAACTTTGCTTGTGAATGCAGCCTTATTCACACATATCATCAATAACGAGTTTCATGTATTTGAAAAAAAGAAAAATATTACATATATTACAATAATATTACATATATACAATAAGAATCAGAATATCTCCCCAAAAAAAGGGATGTAAACCCCATTTATTCATAAATCTTGAAACAGCACAATTTGAGTGCTTACCAGCTAGAATGTCTGCCTCATCCATGAAATGTGTTGTGAGAAGAATGACTTTCCCAGCCTGCCTCTGTTTTAGTAATGTCCACAGATGGCGCCTTGAGTAAGGGTCCATTCCTGCTGTTGGTTCATCAAGAAATATGAACTGTAAATAAGCAAAAAATAAGAAATATAAATGATTATAATGAATGATAAATATAAATAAAGATAAATTTATGTTTACTTATGTAAGAAATATGAACTGTATATGTGTAAGATTGAAAACAAAAATAAATGCATTAAGTTGATGTGTATTGTTGGTGTTCAGTTCTCATGTGTGAAATAAGGTGATAAATAATACAAGTGATGCAAGAGTCAGATTATACAAGTGATGCAAGAGTCAGATTACAGTATTAGATAAAAAGTAAAAAATATGTATGAATTTAAATAAGAGAAACAATTCAAGATACCAGTAGATATATGGGTATCTCTTCAACCCACCACTGCTATTTTACCTTTGGATCCCCAATAAGAGCTATAGCTACAGATAGCTTCCTCTTCTGGCCTCCACTCAGCTCTTCTGAAAATGTCTTCTCTTGGTCTTCAAGATCCACTTCTTGCAGTGCTTTGGTGATCTAGGTTTAAAAAGTGTATATCAATATACAGGGCAGAGTTTTGCTGGCAATTTTTTGGTTTCAAAAAAAGTACCAAAAAAAAATCTGTCCCAAACCTTTATTTTGTTAACAGAACACTGTTTAATCTTAATTTTTTTACTGATAATTTCATTCAAAATGAATTGTGAAATCTTGTGAGCTGCAAAACCAAAGGCATTCAGTGTCATGTATTTTACACTGGACCACTGATATATTATACAAGTAATTATTACCAAAACCACAAAAGATTTCACCTCATTATCCAACCTATCCTTGGGCACTCCCTTCAAGTTGCCAAAGAACTCAAGATGTTCTCTACATGATAGCTTGTCAAAGAGGATGTCATGCTGTGGACAGACTCCTGTCATCTCTCGGATCTGATCCATGTCATTTACATCAGTAACATCCTTAAATTAAAAGGAGGTGAGATAGCTTCTTAGCTGCCATCTCAACTGACAATGTCTAAGTTAGACTAAAAGTTAATCCCTCAACTGCCCATAAAAACTTTTTTTCAGTTATGAATTTACTTATTACTCAATCAGTAGTATTTAAGGTTAAAGAGGGCTTCTTCTTTTAATCTGTTGTTTTCATCACAATTCCTTACACAAGTTTAGTAAGAACAGTTGTAAAGACTATCTCATCTACCTATATCAACAATATATTAGTTTTTGTTTAAAATTAATGTAAATCTGAAGTCATATTTTTACCTGAATCATAATTCCCATCATCAAGTCTATCTAATATAACTTTCATTAAATATGTACTCAATTATTACTCAAAAACTAAGTTACCAAGCCAAGTATGTATGCTGATCCACTTGTGGTTGGTGTCAAACCAGTCAGCATATTGATCAGGGTTGTTTTTCCAGCTCCATTGTGGCCCAGCACTGCTGTGATTTCCCCTTCGTACATATCTAAAGTGAGACCATCTACTGCAGTCACATTTTCCTTTCCTTTGAAGATCTTCTTAATGCCAAATAACCTATGAAAAATGCAAGACAACAGAAGTATTATCAAAATACTGAACAAAAGATGCAATATCAAAATAATCATTTCTTGTCAAATGGTGACAGCTATGGCAACGAAACAGACACAGTGATTAAAATTTAAAGAAATCCTATAGTTTCTATATATAAAAAGTTTGGACATATAAGAAAGTGCCTTTTGTTAAAACTTTTCCTATGGTATACCTTAGTCCTTCCCTGCCATGGTAAGACTGTGGGACAGGCTCCCTCTCTGCTTCTATTGTGTTGATCCCATCAGTAACATTAACCATTTCCTTATGTTTCTTTTCTGGGCACCAATAAGATGACAAAAAGCAAAAGAATGGACTCCGATGATTGCCGTACTCAGCTGAAATAAAAGATTGCAAAAACATTAGATTTGCACATATCAACCAAATATGATGTTTTTACTTTCTCATTACCAGGATTCAAACTTTTTTGTTAATGAAACTTGTACCACAGTTAATCCATTTTAAGGGTACGGGTAAGAACCAATGTCTGAGGGTCTGCATGTGCACCTGTACAGCTCATGCACCCACATATGTACGTGTGTGAAAGTGATTTCAGGCATGCATGTAGTAGCCTATGTAACATTTAAAAACCCTTTTCTCAAAACAAGCCACTGAAATACTGTAAACATATGATTAAAAAAATTGACATTATAAAGATAATACTTGTACTCTTTTGATGGAACAATCTTATCACTTACATGTACAATAGAATTACATTAACCTGTACATTTTGAAAAATTACTTCAAACTAAATTCCTCTGCTTTGTGAAAACTCACTGGGTATAACATTATCCAGATAGGCAGCCAACAGTCCATATAGTACAAAATCTACAGCTAACATGATCAATGAGGATGATATAGGGAACTGTCCGACATGGAGAGTATCAAACGTCATGCCACGGCCAGTTATGTCCAGGAATAGACCCTAAAATGTTTTCAAAATTCTTTAAACAATAATTGTCATTAAAGGATTTAAGTAATCAAAGTAAAACTAGACAAATAATAATTTTGAGCAAAACTTTAAATACAAGTTCCTAGTTTCCTTCAACTACAAGTAAATTGTTCTGCACCTTGGCACCTTGTACAAATTAAAATTCAAGACCTTTTCACAATTAAATGTGAGTGTACTACAAAAAATATGCATGTATCAAACCTGATGACAAACAATTTGATTCCAAATTAGATCAAAATAATTTTCAGCATGATCAATGTTAGATAAGGGGAGCAATAGAGACTCGAGTTAAAAGTGCTACTTTTGCAAATCACTGAATCGAAAGTTAATAGAATGTGACATATCCCACATTTACCATATCAACAGATAAAGCCACTGCCACAGGAGACATAAGGCACAAGGCATACTGCCCTGCAATAGGTATAGTCGACTTGGGTAGAAAATTCTCATCATATGTCCTAGTTGTACTTATCACCAAGTAGAGCAAACTGATGAGAGTGGTAAAGAAACTAGAAGCAATTCCTCCCACCAGTGCCCTGCTGAAGAATCCCTGTAGTATGAAGGACATGTTGATCACTGTGAGACCATACATGAATAACATCAGGAAGAAGATGAACAGGTTGCTTTTATTGACATCGAAGAACTGTCCTGCCATGGCCAGTAGTACTACGATCACAGTCACAATGAGAATGAAGCCAGTGTACATCAGGAGCCATGCCAACCTAATAATAACAAGGCAGCAAAGCTGTCAAATGTACAGACAAAAAACAGGAAATAACTATGCACAAATTAGGCTACTGTCAATTCTGATGCAAAAGTACATTATGTTAAACTGCAAATTCAACATCAAATTTTAATGATTGAATCTGACAAACTGCAATGATATAAATTTATTTCCATTTTTGAAACTTTATTACACAATACACGATAACAAGTTTACCATCATTTTTACATAATCAACTAATAATGTTGTAAAGATGCAGGAAATGCCAAACAAACACTTTTACGTATCTTATTAATTAAATAATGAAACTGTTAACATGCCTAAGAAATGAATCTGAGGAAATGTGAAAAAACGGCATTTCTTTAAAATAATGGCCCAATTAAGCTGATTTTTTAACTCAACCTGCGTTTTAGCAGGAATGACCACTCCTGTGAATTTCATGACAATTGGCCTATCTGTTTTTCTTATAAATATTGTATTTACTGTGTTGCATATATGCTGAAAAGTGAAGAAAAAAGCATAACTACTAAAACAGTGGCCCAATCATGCC